AACACAAAAAGGTCAGGATGTGAGGACCCAAACGGGGTCCGAAAGGACACCATTAACGACATTTTGAATGAGTCAAGTTTTGTAGCGCGAAAGAGCGAACTTAAAGATCGGATTTAAACAATGAACCTTTTGTCTTGTAAAAAGATTTTAAACAATAGATAAAGTCGAAGAAAACGAGGTTGGAGGAGTCGTGTTCCGACGCGACGTTGACCTCTCCCGCGGGGTTTCGAATTGTCACCATGTGACGAGGAGAGACCAATGGAAAGGCGACCGCGGTGGAAAAATCGATAAAACCGCGTTTTCGGGAACTTTACGAGATCTTGGGTTGTGGTGCGTAGTGCTCACTTGCGGGGACGTGGTGCTCACAACAGAGATACAACGAAGGCTCTTTCGACGTCCCGGAAGCTGGTTTCGCCAACCCGTCACGTCCAGAAGCACTGAGGTTCAATCCGTCAACCGAGGACATATCTACAAGTTCTGGTGCGTGCCCCGGGGCCATCGTTCTCTGCGTCCAGCGTGCAGAAAACAACCCAAGGGCCGATCGAACATTCGAACTTTTCCGTTTTTTTGGAGGAACTGTTACAGTACCCTATCGTTGAATAGGCTTTCGCCTGACTTATTGGGTTATTGTAAGAACAATTTATGTATATTATTAAACGGTTTTATATGGTAAACCTGTCTCGGTGAGTCATTCTGCGCCCACACGACCGTATTGACCACTCGGCTGTCGAAATCTCCTCATCTCAATCGGCTGACCTCACAAGGACACCAATGTTCCCTATGGAGGCGCCATATTGGGTCTTTAGTTTAAAGGTAACTGTATAGATTTCACTCTATGTACGTGCATTGAACTGTAAGTTCTTTCTAATTCGAGCCACGGAATTCATTTTATAATTTAAAATAGAGTATCTTTTCATTTAGTGGCTACTCTGACATATAATTAAAGGCCTGAATTATATTTTTCAAATAAATTATTCAATATATATAGTGTCTGGGACGAAATAATCCAGTATAAAGGAACAACAGTTAGTGAATGAATGTATCCACTGATGAAACAAGTTAAAACTAGCGAAACGCAGTTGGAATGTTTGAAAAAAGTTAAAATAAAGTCTAATATACGTTGTTATTTGGTTTGTTTGCCTTGAAAAATTACTCGAAATCGGATACGAGGGGTGTTCAAAAAGTATCGGACCTTTATTTTTCCCGCGTAAAACAATGATGCACGAGAGGTCTCTTTCGGTGGAGTTGTGGAGGGGACAGTCATGCACAGTCCTGAATTTTTTCCCGCCTGCAGGAAGCGTCAGTCGCTGGCAGTCGGCCTATGAGTGAGGACATGTAGTGAGCGTTTGTCGGATTCCACTAAGTTGGAAAATGACTGAACAACATGAGCAGCGATATTGCATCAAATTTTGCCAAAAGCTTGGCGATACCCAAGCGGAAAACCATTCGCAAGAATCAGCAGGCAGGGGGAACGATCCTCGAGGCCAAAAAAAGCGCGGCAGGTCCTCAGCAATGTCAAGGTCATGTTGACAGTTTTATACGACTCCCGTGGGGTGGTGTATCCTGAGTACGCACCACAAGGCCAAACCATCGCAAACGAGTACTACCAGGAGGTCCTTTGTCGTCTTTGTGATGCTTTGCAACGCAAACGAACGGATCTGTAGTCGACCAAAAGTTGGCAGCTCCATCATGATTACGCACTCGCCCATTCTGCGCATCTGATTCGGACTTTCGTCGCCAAACACAACATTCCTGTGGTTCGTCACGCTCCGTACTCTCCCCACATGGCTCCGTGTGACTTTTGGCTATTTCCTAAGCTGAAAATGCCGCTAAAAAGAACCCGATTTTAGTCGAGAGAAGACATCGTGCGAAATGCTGATGTCTTCTCTTGACTGATGGCCATTCCAAAAGATGCGTTCCAGCAGTGTTTTCAGCAATGGCAGGAGTGCTGGGAGAAGTGTATACACTCCCAAGGAGACTACTATGAATGGGATTAGGATTTTGTACCTCAATAATATATTTGTAATAAATAAATGCATTTTTGCCGATTAAAGGTCCGATACTTATTGAACACCCCTCGTATAAAGTGTATAATATTACTCGTTAACAGTGTAGAAATATTTTATTTTTAGATTTAACATTTTAAAGAACATTTATTCTGTTTAATAAGTTCTATAATGTTGTTATACAATCTGTCAGAAAACTAAAACTTTACCACGAACAGTCCATAGACTAGTACTATGTTTTTATGTTGTAAAGTGGTTTTAAAGTAAACAAGGTTAATTAAAACCACTCTAATGATGCACAATGCAAACATTTTAGAATATGTATTAAATAGTAAAGTAGTTTATATACAGTCGACCCCCCTATAAGATAGAGATACGTTCCAATTTATTAGGAATCCGATTTCTTACAAGTCGTTCCAATCACAGCCCGACATGTGTCAAGTTTACAGACTATGGCTGATTGAAAGGTTTTCTTCCATAAAATTAATCGATTCTACACTAATCCGACTCAACATTTCCAAAATACGTATATTTTTTCGTAGTTTTATAGGAATCGTAATTATAGGGACCGTAATTATAGGGGGGTCGACTGTACTGAATTTTTGTTTTTATCTAACAATATAGATTATTTAAAAGAAATCTCTATTAGTAACCCGATAGTTTATTATTCAATTTCGCTAAAACTTGTTACTTCAAAATCTGAAATATGTTTACACTGAAAGACAGCATATGCAGGAAATAGCATTATTTGTATCAAAATATAAAGTTATAAAAGCTTTATGTTTATGTTATCGACATGGTATATGATAAAGGCAGGTGTGTTTGATGGGCCCCAGATTCGTACACTTGTTAGAGACCAACAATTTGTTTCAAAAATGAAGAACAAAGAGTTGCATGAGTGTCGTTGGTAGTGGTAATGGAAACCTTTCTCGGTAATAAAAAGACTGCTAATTATGAAACTCTATGTTGTCAGCATTTCATGATCTGGGATGTAACATGAGTGTCAAACTGCATTCCCTACACAGTAATCTTGATAGATTCCCTGAGAACTTAGGACACGTTAGTGACGAGCAACGTTAGTGTTTCACCAGGACCTGAAGATCATGGAAGAGCGCTACCAAGGGAGATGGAACAAACATATGATGACAGACTACTGCTGGAGAGTTAAATGGGATTACCCTGAAATAGGTCACAAAATTAACGATCCTGAAATGCAAATTTCTACTTTTATCGTATGCACTTGCGCTTAGCCCCCCAGTATAGGATCAAATGTGTTATATAGCAATCAGTTGATGCTTGTCTGTGTTTCCATTTTTTACTACTACAGACATGTACACTAGTGTGACCGTAGGGTCGGCACCTCTTTGGCGCCCTGTCAGGAGACCTGAATCTGACACCACCGAGTCTCTGGGGGACTCGGAAATCGCGACGTTACGTCACGCGAGCGGTAGCGTGTGAGCGCTTGGATTCGGAGTAGAGGTGAGGAGAAAGACAAGGAAGTAATTTACTCGGATTCCATGATAGCTAACAAATAACAATTTTAATAAAAACTAAAGAAAATACAGATATATTCTATCCCTAATCATGCTATTCCGTTTGAGAGAGAGAGTTTACACACGAATCGCGGGTTGATAAATACCTTGATTCTGGGTCGAAAGATTTGTGGTTACGCCGATGGAAAGTTCAATCTACTGGTTCTGTATCTTGTCCGTTCACTGGGGTGGAGGCACGGAGGTGTGGAGATGTTATTCTTAAACAGGCGCGATCTTTTCCTCTCGGTGTTAATACTGGGTCACGGTTTTAATTCGGGAGTACGACTTTTGTTGAGCGGACTTTGTGAAGACGACTGTTGTAGAGGGACTTCGGATGACGACTGACCTCGGGGTTCTTTTTCCTTTTTCTCGTCTTATTCCTCTTGGGTTTTTTCCATGAGGTCAGGTGGTTGCCGTTAACGGTCTCGCGTCCAATATGGATTCTCCATCAAAAGTTCCTGGTGACACATCCCTGACTAACTTGATCCGACTCAACAAGGAACAAACTCCGTGGGAAATAATTTTTATGGCTTTTAGCCTAACTCGATAAAACGCTCGAATTTAACCGATTAAAGTTTCCAATAATTAAAATTTAAAATAACACTTTATTGTGGGTCTGTTCGTCCCTCACACTAGTTTGCAATGTAATGTGTATTAATTAGCTAATTAACAACTGTATGGATCTCAGTTTGTATTACTAAAGACATTTCGACTATGTTACAATTTAATGTTTAATGCCCAGTTCATTTTGAGAGTATTTCAAATGATATGGAGTCTAACAAAAAGGTATGTTACTGTATTTTTAGTCACACACATACGCGGAATTTTTCCCGTTTTCTTTTTGTGATGAAAGTTATTTCCCGAATTTTTAGTGTATTTTTGTGGTGTAAATATTCAAGTCTTCGTGTATGAGGAGGTCAACACCCTAAGAATTACCACCGTTCAATATTCTGTAGGAAAAAGTAGGGTAATCCAGGAATCTAGGTGAAGCCGGACACGAAGCATTGTAAAGTGTAAAAGGTTGGCATGTTGTGGCATGTCGCGTTATGTTAGCAATCAATCGTGTCGATTTGGAGAAACCGCGTGCACATCCTCGCGACAATCATGGACAACTTTATATTGTTTGGTATTGCTATCATTTAACGGTATATATACCCACTTTTTCTTTTAATACTCCACAATTTTAGGTTCCACGGGCAAGAGTAGAACCTGTAGCCATTTTATAATTGAAATTAAAAATTCGCGAATCTATTATATTTCACTTTCTAATGAACATGTGTAAATAAATTAGATTTCATTTTTTATTTTCTTTGTCTACATAATTTTCGCCACTTTCTAGATGTCTCGTCGTTGTTCAAGTAAAGTCCGCTACTACCCCAAGCAACAGGAGGTTTATGTGCTGATTATTTTACAATTAATTTGAAATTAATTCTAATATTTACTTTTATTATTCTTAATAATTAACGGTAATAAGAATAAGAAATGCACTTAACACGTCTATCTGATATTTTCTCTTTACAGTTTACTAATTTCGTTAGTTTTATAAAGAAACTATTTATGTTATAAACTTATTTAGACGTATATTTAAAATTTTAAAGAGAAAAAAAATATGACATTAACGTAATCAATAAAACACGGATAAAACGATTAATTCGAACATTAATAAAATAATTCTAACGCAATAACGAGAAGAAACACCCGTATTATGTGTATTAACACATAGACGGGTCTGTTTGGATCTTTCTTCTCTGCAATTGTCGTCCGAACAGATACAATCCTTCAATCTCCACCCTGACGTTTGCCTGTTTAGAACGGAAATGCTGTATTCGCAACGTCTCGTGCACTTCTCACCTTCCAACATACTTCTGCACAGTCTCTTGTAGTAATAATAAGCTTCTAGACACACCGAATCCGCGCGACAAATCGACAGGGCCGATTTACAATCCACGGGGATACTTTCCATTCGTGTCCTTCCGGCGGGATTCCAACACCACCCAGTTCTGTTACGTACGGTGTGACAGTAGACGTCTCTCCCACACTCGCAATCCCACAAATCGTACCCCTGTGGGGTGGTAGCCAGCGCGATGACCGACTTGAGACAGAACTCCGAACATTCCCGGATTAAGCCGTATCTCTCTCGTTGACAACTGATGCGGTAGTTGTGAAGTGTCATTCCACACGGTATCTCCTCTGTGCACCTATCGACCACTTCGTCGCAAGTGTTGGACGTTTCTATAGAAACGGAGTACAGACCCAGCAGCAATGTCGGATATAACATATCAGCAGTACCTTTATTAAATGCGTTTGACACGAGATCTACCCATAATGCCATCAACATTGATCTTATATACCAAGCATCTTATATAAGTATATAGCTATTTGCGCAAACTCGTACGATTTTATAAATGTACGAGTAATTATTTATTGTGGCATCGTCACAATAAAAAATTTAATCAATTTAAAATATATATCCTCTCCACCTTAAATTAGTAATGTCTTGCTTTTTTATATTATTCTTTTCCTGTTAGAAGCAGAGATGTGCCATTACTCTATCTAACTCCTTACAGGATAAAAGTTTTTTCAATTAAATAATTATTAATAGACATTTATCGATTAAAACGTTATAAAGGAAAGTTGATGAGTGGGTAGATGACTGCAAAACAAAATCAGGTTCAAAGGTCAAAAATATAAATAGAAAATTAATATTTAAGAAATATTTTAAAAGAACACGATATATTTTATATTAAAATATTAAAAATTAATTATTTTTCTTAATAAAATTTATTATTTTTTCAAGTAAAAATCATCCGTTTTAATGAACGTTTATCAACTGATCGATCGCGATCGACAGAGATCTTTAAGACCATTCGCAGGGAATGATTATTCTTTAAATATTATCATTTACATTGACAATTAACACCGTTAATTAAGTATAAATATAATTACATGTTTAATAATATTATTTATGAATATTTTTTTATAATTATGCAATGAATAAACGGTAACAGATGAGGAATTATCAATATTTAAATGTACCATCTGTGGAGCACAGTTGTTAAACAATATTGCGTTATACTAATAAAACAATTAAAGATATATCACTATTAAATTTATTTTGTAATTAAAATTAATATTAGTTAAGGATCTACAATATATATTTCATAAAAGAACTGTGGAATAAGGTCATTTCTTTCTCTTTATCAGATGCTTTAGTGTTTTCTCTGTTGAGGAATGGCATAAGACACTGTAGAGAATTGAACAAAACATATTGAATTTTAAAGAATTTCTAAAATTTTATTGACTGATATTGTAAAATTTTTATTAATAATAAATTTAGTTGAAAAATCAAATAATGGTTTGAAAATCTTCAATTGAATTTAAGTACTTTCTTCGGATGAAGACCATTTTGAAGATGACTTTGTCATTAGAGTATAGAATAATTGATGGATGTGTCTTTGCCCGCATTCCACGTTGTCTCCATTAAACAGAAAGTGGACATTATCCAAAATTCGGGTTTCGCAATGTCGCGAACCGGAACACAACAACCACGTTATGTATTTTGGAAAATTCAAAATTGGAAAAACGATTTTGTAATAATCGGATTTAATTAATGGAAAGGGATCGAAGAACATAACTCTGCAAAATCCGGTTTGTTTACAATGGTAAAGTTCCGCTCGTATATCCACTTCATCGCAGGATTTGTTGATAACAACGACGTCGACAATGCGAGGTAGGAATAGACTTGGATGATTTGGTATAAGAAAGAAACCGAATCCGTGTAAATAAATAGATTCTGTTACGGAAATTTCGCTCTGTATAACTGGGTGACAAATCTGAATGGGATTATTGAGTTTGCATGAATATTTACAAACTTTATACAGAGCTCGAGGTTTTCTCCATCTGCAAACCCAAGATGGAAGTTCGGAAATGTATTGGGGATTTTCTATGGCACTTTTAATTTTCTTTGTTTCTTCTTCTGTGAGTATTTCACATTGTTTAATCATTTCATCGAAATCGTAACGTGTTAAACTCAAAAATCTTATATGGCGTAACACCGGTTCTAAAATCTTCCTCAAGTTACAAGGTTTGCAATCTTCTTTACTTTTGCTACAAACGTTGGTTGCCCAATGAATCACGGCTTCGAACAAATCGTTTTCGGTCAGTAACTTTAAATCGTAAGTTACCAATTCGCATAAAGTCTCCAACTTAATGTTAAGAAAATAATTCAGCTTAAAAGTGGCCAAAGTCTCTTTTGAAACAATTTCGATGCATTTTTCCACCAGTTCTCTATCAGAATATTCGAGTGCCAATTCGTAAATATGCCAGACGTGGGCCACTTTCATCTTTGCCATCAGTTTCGACCGACATAATTCCACTAGACACTGAATACGATATTTATGGGCCGCTTTATACAGGGTTATGTTATCGAATTCGGAACAGGCAACCATTTTGTCTGTGTAAATAAATCTGAAAAGATTAAGTTGTAAATTAATATTTAATCGTACATAAAATATATATTAAATCGTACACAAACTTCAGAAGAGATTCGAAGCTATGACAATCGATGTCTTCGATCTTTATTTCGGAATCATCCACTTTATCCGGACCATAAAACATATTTTCGAACACTTCGCTGTACATTGATAGTATCAATTTATGTACATTAAAATGTTTTCTCTTCGTCTCATTCCCTACGAAGAGAACAACGTCGGACAGGTGACCGGATAACAGATGAGTCTTTCTTTCTGTATCGGTTGTCAAATTATTTTGCCATGCCATAGCTAGAAAAATAACACAAATACCGATTATTCACTACCATTAATTATAAATATAGTTGCATTTTAAGAAATATTATTTGATTACCTTTAAAATAGTCTTTCTTCAATAATTAATTTTCTGCGACAATGTTTTAATTAATTTTTACGCTAATCTTCTACGCAATAATTGGAAGAGAACATAGACAACTGTATTCATAAATGGTAGTTTCCAGGGCCGGCCGAAGATTTTTTGGTGCACCTGGGACCCAAAAACTCATGGGCCTGCCCTGGTTGTTTATATTTATGTACAGCAAGGACTAGTAAAATTGTTTATTACATAAAGAGATCGCTGTTTAGTCCTTACCACTGTAGATGGTCGATTATCGATATAGATAATTATTCTGCAATTCATTGTAATCTGATTAACCTTCATCACGCATCGTTATATCTGTAGGCTATTTCAATTTTACTTCTCTTACAGCTTTAAAGAAGATTAAGATGTATACGAGCGAAAAGCTTATTAATTACTGTATTTCAGTTCTTTTTTTTAAGACAGGCAGTATATGGGAATGAAGGAACTTTCTTCTTTTTTGACGTAGAAGCTTCAGTCACAGAGCGATCAAATTGTTTTCTAGGATGATCATCTTTCAACGCTTTATCCATGAAGTAAAACTTCACTCATCTTCGTGCCTGCTTTACGACGAATCTTTATTATTGACGGCGATACACCAGCAATCTGACTTCATATAAGCTATATACGAATCCGCATTATATGAACCCGTTTTATAGGGGTCTACTGTATTTTTCATCTCCAGCATTAAAACTTCAGGTCATTTACCAATATCGTTTGAAAATGATTCATAAGTTTCGCGTAGTAATTGTTCGCTGTGATCGTTATTTTCTTGGGTTTTCAAAAGATTTTCATGTTCTTCAACGGCATCTTCTTCATTTTGTTGTTGGAGATTTGTTTGTTCCTCAATTTTACTGTCCGTTTCTTGATTTTGTGTTTTCTTAAAATAAAAACGGCATTAAAGCATTATATTGCTTTTTGTTTTCTTCCTCTTTTACTTTCCTTTTTTAATCTTTTTTGAAGACCACTTGCATGCTTGTAATTACTCATTTTTTACGGTCAACTTGTATCATAATATCTCAGAAACTATTAGCGATTTCTGTGTTTATTTCATAAACACAGAAATGTAGCCCTTTGAAAACTGACTAAAATGCAACAATAAACGTAAAAGTGATATAAGTCGAGTTATACCAGTTTTTACAGGATACACGGAGATAAATATTAAAATTACTTACTTATATGTTAAATAGAAACTATAACTGCAAAAATAGGTTATAATATATCCAATCCACCTAGTCAAACTCAGGGCCCTGACACAAAAATTACCTACGAAATAATGCCAAAGTTTCACTGTTGTCATCTGATCGCATCACCCAATTATAAAAAACTACATAACAATATAATTCGTTCTATAAAAATGTTAATTTAGTTGTAATGCGTATTTTTCTTTTTATATTTGAATATCTTAATTACATTGTATCTTTGGAGCTACAATAAATTTATGCAGCAATGAACATTATATTTTTCTCAACGAACACTGCTCTATTCTGAACTTCACCGAACAGAACCGAGGTAGTAGGTAATGACATTCTTAATTATTAACCCTTGAATATGGCATGCTAATAATATAATTCGCATTAAATGGCTCGCACGTACACAAAATGGCATCCATTCCTTCTAATTAAGCCAATGTCTTAGGAGAACAATTATCCCTCCCAAAAAATTATGAAGATTAACTGAGAGCGGTCCTCTATTTATCAATTAAGCCTAAAATATCATTTCGGAGATGAAATCTCTTCTGGAAGGCATGGACGAGCCACACCAGGATCTATATAGGTCGAAAGCATTCTTCTTTCTCGCATGCAACCCTACACCACAGTGGGATAGAACAATTTGAGACTACGTTTTCGTAAGATTAGTTATTAATAATAGTGTGTCCGCTGTTTAGAAGTAAATATATGTACTACTTGAAGGGTCTGGGGATTGTAAAAATGCCCGTGTCCTTTATCGGAAGTTTCACTGTATTATGATTTCTTGTTTACAGATCTGACAATTGTAGAAGATTTCTAGAAGCATTTTTACTGAGAAAATATCGTTGCCTTACATTTTATTTTATTTGTAATTCCACTTTATAATCTTACAATCCTCCAATCAGCAACGGCAACGTGGAAATTACGTTGTGTTCGAAAATCGTGCGATTCGAAATTAGAACCTGCGATGTCGTTTTAAAAAGGAAAGAAAACGTTTCCTTTTCAAGTGAGTGGTTCTTTTATTGACTCGTAAGTTTTATCAAAATGGAAAAAAGGTGCTTGCTCCACCAGGTTCCATACAAGCATTCCACAGCGCTATTGATACAATAACCGCTTGGTAATCCGATCCCTCGGGTGTCAGATTAACAACCTTCTACTGTAAATTGCTAATTAAGTAGAGAAAATATGAAACAAATTCATTACATAATTGCATCTTTTATGTAGATTGAAGAAGATGCCAAAAGTGACGAAGAATTGGATTAAGAATAAATACAACCCTATAGATATTTGGCAAACTAAAATGACAAATTCTTCGTTTAATCTTCTCCTTGCAAAAAATAAGAAGAAAATTTTTAATTCTGGAATTTCGAAGAAATTAAAAGAAGAATCGACTTTAAGTGATGATGAGTGGACGAATATAACAGATTTTAGCACTTCGATTACTGAATCACAGGTATTAATTAATCACAGTAGAGAATCTATTGAATTTCCACGTAATATCTACGATTCTTCAAATTATGAGTATAGTTTTAATGAAATTGAATACGATAACAGTGATATAAAATTTTCTACGATGAAAAATGCGAGTGTTTGTAATGATAACGTATTTAATTCACTTAGTATATCGCCTGGAGATAACTATTCCTTTGTAGATTGTTCAGGAGCAAATTTAACAGACGGATCATCACACGGGAAAGCCAATCTCAATGAAAATAAGCACGTAATTAAGTACTGGAAATCTTTAAACTGTTCAGAAATTGCCATCAAACAAGTAAAAAGTGAAGGAATATTGCATGTTGCAAACAAGTACGATGTACAGTTCATTCCATTAACCAGTGCAAAACAACAATTAACTAGTACCCCCTCGAAAGTTAACCCAGGTCTCAAAGAACTCGATATATCCGAAATTAAATCGGACGTAGACGATCAAAATAGTAAAATAAATCTGAGTGTTCCTGCCATAGAAGTTACTGACGAAGATAAAGAAAACCTACAGATTGATGACAATGAAGATGCACAATTGGAAGAATTAAACAAAGTACCCGAAGAGGATTCTTTGAGCATAATGTCCGTTAATGCCGAGCATCCGTATCCCGTATGCAGCATACTTTCTACGTTAATGAAACGGTATAAAATATCAAATAAAGCAAAAAGTGATTCTAGAAACACAACAAAATCATTACAGCAATATCCTGTGTGTTGTCTTGTTTCTTTGTTTCAAAAAAGTTAAAAGATTTATTTATATTATTGTAAATGAATGTAATTTTTATCAGAATTTTTAATGTGGTTTATCATATTAATATCTAATGTATTTGTTGATATATTTAAAATACTTATTTTCCTCTATTTAAAAAGCATGTTGAACTCAATTTTGTTGTAAGAGGAAATTTTTGATGTTAATGAAAAAATGAAAATATTTGTTATATTAAAAGTATATAATTATTTAATTTCTATATTTATTCTACAGTTAAAACCATAAATTCAATTAAAACGGCCAGACGATCGAGCAGTTATGGTGGCAGACTACCACTCTGGGGAACACAGGATCCAATCCACAAGAGTAAAAAAATTCCAGGAATATTTTGATGGCCTATCTGGAAAAGTATGGCCTTGTTCCTCACCACCCGAGCCCACAATGTCTCATTGTGGGCCTGGTTGAACCCAAAATGGGCTTGCTAAAAAGGCTCTGTTAGTGCCTAGAGGGAGAGAGAGTTAAGAAAAATCAATTATTAGAATAGAAGCTTCCAAAAATACCAAATCTAACTCCACATTTAATTGCTTTAAAAATATTTGTCCAAAGAAAATTTATTTTAAATACATAATTATTTGATGAAATCATCAGATATATTGACACAAGTTACCAATACATTGTTTACAATTGGCCTCCATATTTTCTATGTAGGCAGACTATGGATCAACTAGCATGATTGAAGGATGGAAAACAATGTCCTAATGTAAATTATTCATAAATTGCAAAGATTCCAAAAGATTCAATTCCAGATTCTTAACGTGGCATAACACTAGTTCAGTCTTGATAAAAGTCAAATAATACTGTTCAGTTTTACCAGTTTATCATGAAAATTTAACAATTATATTATTTAATGTTTATTTAAGACTGTATTTATGATTAAATATAGTCTTTAATTTGGATTATAATTGTGGCATTCTACTATTTTTAACTCAAGTAAGTTAACGAATGTGCATTATTGAATTATTTATAAGGATGTTTCAAAAATATGAAGCAAAACTTCAGGAATGGATTCCTTATCCATAGAAGAATAAGTTATAACAATCTCAGTCTGAAAGCGTTTTATTATGCAGCAAAAAGGCCATCCAGTAAGATCTTTAGTGTACTCCAATGCATTCATTCATTTGCTGCAATTAAATCAGACTTGCAAACATTCGTGGTAAAATATGTAAACATGTCTAGATCAAACAACATTAAAGTATATTTAAACACATTATGCTCCCATAAAAAAAAAATCCAAAGTTTTTGGTGAATTCAAATGTGGATAATATCCAAAATTCTCCATGAACAAACCATGAGTTTGTCAGACAACATGTGCAATAGGAGGAACTTGGGTACATGTTCAGGGTTAAATGAGATGATGAGTTGAGGCCTGTAGACAGGAAGATGGTGGACATTTTCTGAATAATGATATATAATCATTATAATTCATATAATATTCTGAAATTTTACATGTATTCCTCAAAGTATATAAACTTAATGAAACTTCTTTATGATGTGAATTTTTATAATTTATATCAAAATGGATTTCATGTATCTATAACACATCCAGACGTAGTGGTAAGTATCCCTATGTCATGTGGGAGACTGATATTTGATTCCCTACTGAGAAGAAAGTTTCGACAGCTGGTTGGTCAAGGCAGTTAAGATATCAGCCTACTTCTCTAGAAGACCCCAGGATGAATCCGTAAGATACCTGAAGAATTTTTCATGTGCAATTTGTGCTAGACATGTTAGTACCTGCCCCTTACCAGCTGGCTACTCCCACTGTGGGTATGGGAAAAAAAGACCCTTTAAGTACTCGTAGGTGAAAAAGAGTCAAAATTAAAAGAAAGTATAAATTATTTTGTTCCAAAATGGGAATATTTTAATATAATTTATTGTAAAATAACTAAATATACATTAAAACCACTAAGAAAAAAAATTGCTGGGTTTTAGGTAAACAAGTGCTAATGTTTTTGCCCATGTTGAAGGGGCATCATCAGGCAAGCTAATCCCCAGCAGCAAAAACATTAACGCTTATCAAAAAATTGCTGGGTGTTAGGTTTTCTTAGCGGTTTTAATTCAAGTATATCCAGTTTTGAGTGGTAGTATACTAAATATACAACAAATACTACTTTATTCTTTAGAGTGCGTGAATTCGTCTAATTGCTTTTTCAAATCAATTAAATCCAAGTCGGGAACGTAACGTATTTCCTCGTGTTCTTCAGTGTGAGGATGAACAGACAGAGTTACTCCTTCTGGCAGAGATGACTGAATAGCTTCTATGAAAACAGGAGCCATGAATGAAACTAAATTGGAAATCTATAATTGAACAAAAATGCTTACAAAATTAACTGCCCATTTTAAATTTCAAATTAAAGAGATTAAATTTCTGATATAATATTTTTGATAACGTACCTGAACATTCCTTTCATAAAGTTTTAGATCATATTCACTTTCTGTTGCAGTACTGAAGGGTTTATACGTGGTGACATGCTGTGAAAAGTTTGGAGTTGCCCAACTAGAAAGCATACGTTAAAGATAAATAAAGTTATTTGACTACAGAATAAGATATATATGAATAATTTTCCTTTTTATTTACCTTATAATTGGTATTTAATATAAAATTTTATTAATGATTGCAGTTATTTGTTTCTAGAAATATTCCTAATTTTAATAATTGTTAATTTAATTCATTTCATTTATAATTTAGAGAACTTAAAAATATAAATTCTATTAATCATTTCATCATATCCCAATTTAAAATTGCTCTTGGTATGTACAAATAAGTTTATGTACGATTCTACATAAAATTATTTGCAACCAACCTTAATCAAATTTCTGAGGCTTTCATTATTTAAATGAGTATACAAGACTTAAAGTAATTTCACCAAGTATTTTCTTGGATAGTTTTATGCTTATAAATTTTCACTTTTCAGCAGGGCTGTGGAGTCGCGTAAAAATCTACCAACTCCAACTCCGACTTTTCCTTACCAATCCGACTCCGACTAAAACACCAAAACTCCACGACTCCAACTCTGAGTCCACAGTCCTGTCAAGGCTGTGGAGTCGTGTAAAAATCTACAGACTCCAACTCCGACTCTTCCTTACCATCCGACTCTGGCTGAAACACCAAAACTCCACAACTCCGACTCCACAGCCCTGCTTTTCAGAATATTCATCAACACTCCCTTACATAAAAAAGCACAACAAAATTTTATGGTATTGTAAGAGTTCAGTTTTAAAAAATTTAAGTTAAAAGATAATAGAAGCTTCACTGCTCTGACTATACGTGAATATGTTTCTGCTATAACAACAAATTCACACAAAAAGCAAACTTTATCTATTGAAGTGTGGTATTACTTATATAACAATTAAAAAAGCTGACAACTGAAAATTCTCTCTGACAATTCTCAAAGAAATGAAAGAAAGAACTGAGTGGGAAATTGTAGACATGACAACTTTACTTATTCAGGAAATTATTACTATGAGCAATTATTTATTGTGACATCATCAGAATGCCTGCATTTTTAATCAATGCTGCACTTTTTAATAATACACAAACACATGCTACAATTTTTAATCATATCTTTAATTTATTTACTTTAAATTATATGTTCTCCACCTCAAATTAGGACTGTCTTGCCCCTGTACATCATACTTTTCCCATTAGCAATAAAGTCATGCCTGTCACATATCTTAACTCCTTTCAAGGGAAAATTTTCATCTAACTAACTCCGTTCTTGAGATTAAGGAGGGACAGACATACGATGGTGGGAATTTATAGGTGTATAATTTTTTCAAATTGCATCCTAATGAATTTGTGAGGATCTGAATCCAGATTTTCAATATGTTTGTATCATTATCTCCTAACATCACATCGTAACTATACTCTTGTTAAATAACTGTCAACTTTTACACCTGGGAGCAAAACATCTGTTAAGTTCTCAAGCCTGGTAATGACGCTTTATCATCTCTCGATTTCAACAGTTCAAAATATAGAACAAGACAACACAGTGGGGGAGTCGTCACCAGTTCCTCGATCCGACCACTCAAATTTTTCCTGCGTTAAAATATACGGATAACCTGTGCTCCTTTGGATAACTCCTCGCATAATATCTAGTTAACTCAGAACTGTAGGAATAAGAACTGTCGTCCAGAATTGTCTTCCTTTTGGTCCAACCAGCTTGCAACAGATCAATATTTCATACAAGGTATTTATCGCCACGCGTAACTACTGTAAACTCTCTCTCTCAAGAACCAAAGAACTTTAACTGAAATTTTTACGTCCACTTTAATGTCCATTTTATATATCTTATGTCAATCGTAGCAAATATATCTAAAATCTAGCATATTTAAAATCGATATGTTGTATGTCCTGTATGGCCTATCGTTCCCGATTAAACAGTTGTTACGTTAACCCATCTCCGCGTAAGTCACTTCCAGTGCGCTGTCTCTTCCTCCATCCCGAATCTGATTGCTCCGTTATGCGACTGCTCGCGTGACCCAGTTAGTGCGGCTTCCATGTCAACTGAGACATGGTGGTGTCATCCTGACAGGACATCAAAGAAGTGCCGACCCTTCGGTCACAAATTTGAGGGAACCAATATTTTGAGTGTAGAATTCTACATATGGAGAAAAACAAATTATCACATATAACTTTATACTTCTAAATGCATTTTATACTTGGTAAATTATTTAATAAAGCATGGAAAAACTAAAAATGTATGAACTTTTTTAATTTCTTTGTACTTCCATCATATACCATTCAGAATGGCATCGTATCTGATCTACCCATGGCATGTTGTAGGACAGGATGTCCAACCCATGGCCCACTTAATATCTTTATGCAGCCCACTGCACCCTAAACTTTTTTAGGTATATATTCATTTATTTTGGTAAAGTATGTCGTAAAACTTATTCTGGTTTCATTGGATACACTTTGATGTCATAATAACATAATTGGTGTTAGAAAACCGTTTATCTAGAGAAGTGTTATCCATGTGAGGTAGTACATGCTGTTGTGAACAATTCTTTTCGTGCATGATAAAAATTAAAACTGCTGAAAGAAATAAGTTGAGTGATTCCCATTTAATTAACATTCTTAGACCTCTACCATGTTTTGAAACTGTGTCGTTCTTTTTATTTGTTCTATAAGCGCAATTCAACAGAAAATGAAATAAAGAAGTGAATAGTGCCAAGTGATTGTTATTACGCTACATTGCACTTATAGAACATATAACATTCTTAGAATTAAGACTACTATCATAAAAGCAGATATTGACAATATTATAAAAGGAAGGCAATGTCAAAAATTGAATTGAATTTATTTTTATTTTGTGTGAGTATAATTTCTTTTTTTTACTATCAATAATACAGTATTTTTTTGTAATAATATATATTTGTTATTAAAATTTGATATTCACATTTTGAACTTTTTAAAAGCATATATTTATATAAAGTACCTTTGTGGCCTGCTAAATATAGCTAAATATCTAATTTGGCCCATTAGGAAAAAAGGTTGGACGACATGTTGTAGGGTTTCTCTAACAGGATCCCGGGATCTTGGTAATCCTGACTGTTTTTTAACCCAGGAAATCCTGCAAACTTCTTAAAAGTTTACTTTTTCTTATTTTGTGTTAAGGTCGAGGAAATTTTGCCAATAAAAAGTATAATTAATTCATTTACTCTCTGAATACATTTGTATTTGTTAACTTTAAGCCTGCTTATTAGTTTTTTAAATTTTTGCTCATTATGGCAACGGTTCCCAAAGCGTGCGCTGTAGTGCCCTAGGGATCCACAGCTTCAGGGGTGCTGCAAAATGTTATAAAATTTTCATAATTTTACGTCCACTTTCAATTCAATGTGATAAGATGCAACATCTAGCAGACCTGATGGAAATCATTAACTCGGTAATAAAGATGGCACATAGAATCGCAAAATGTAAAAAACCTCATACCACTGCAGAAAAACTCATTCTACTGGCTGCTGTAGACATGGTGAGTATTATGATCGGTGGGTCTGCTGGGTAGCAGCTTTCAAAAGTGCCTTTCTCCAATAACACTATCAGCCGCATAATACAGAACATAGCAAAGGACCTCCAATGTTCAGTTATTGAAAAAGATAGAAGGGAAGGAATTTGGGTTGCAGCTGGATTAGGACACAGATAATAATAATGATGCTCACTTGATTTGCTATGTACAGTTTATAGATAATAACAACATTGTAGAAGACTTTCTCTTCTGTAAAAGTATCACTGCTGATGCTCACAACTTGTACGAGATCCTTAATATTTTTATTTTCAAAAATAATTTGGAGTGGACCAAATGCATTGGTATCTTTACTGATGGTGCTCAGATGTTATGGAAGATTGCAAGCACTTTTTCAAAGCAAAGACCATATGATACACCATGGACCCATTGCATTATTCACAAGGAAGCACTTGCATCAAAATATCTAAGTCCTGCATTGAACCAGAATATGTAGTACATGTAGTAAACTTTATAAAACCGGTCGTTGAAGGTAAGATTTTTCAAAACACTATATGAGGATGTGGGATCCAAGCACACATCTTTGTTGTACTACAGCACTTCAAGAAAGTATAAAACATTACCATGAGAGAGCAATGGTTCTCTCGAGGTAATGTTTTGTCTAATATGTTTGAACTGCGACAGGAAATTTATATTATTCTTAAAGAGGTATACCATAAGTATGCCGAAAATTTTGTGATTTAAGATTTTTTGGTAAAACTAGCATATTTATGTGATATTCTTGAAAAGCTGAATGCTCTGAATCTCTCTTTGCAAGGAAGTAACATGCACCTTTTAAAGCCAATTGAGAAAATTTCAGCTTTAAAAAAAATTTGTTTTGTAAGCGCAATGTAGCATAATAACAATCACTTGGCACGATTCGTTTCTTTGTTTCAATTTTCATTGATACGCATTTACACACACGTTTCGGGTGTCATTTGCCCCTCTTCAGTCAACTAAAAATATAAAACCATTTTTACATACACAACAACCCAACACATAAATTCAAAAAGTACTGATTATACAAGTGCATATAACATACCTTAAAAATACAAATGCTATCCTTAGATGTATATTACTACAAGCAGGAACCATGCAATATATAATGGATTATCTAGTATTTTAATTTAAAAAAGATTTTTTACTATAAAACTACAGCTTAAAAACAGAACGCATGATTATGCAAATCACCATAAAGGAAAACGCCACTAGATACCGAAAGATGAACAAAAAGATTAGTCAAAGTTAAGTTTCTTTCCATCGATTATGTAGAACTGTTACTAAAAAGATTAGTCAAAGAGAGGTTCAATCCTGTGGATTAAGTATGAATTGGTACTAAAATTAAAGAAGATAGAACTGTGCTATGCGTCTATTACAGGTTTCCCTTTGTATCGCCAAGGGTCTTCGGAGAATATGTATGTAAAGATAAGTTAAGTATATAGTATAATATTTACATACTAGGTACATTAACTATATTAATTTTTTATAAGACTTTATGGAAGTTTGAAGGACCTTCAAATTAAAAAACCTGGCCGTCAAAGTCAAAGTCTTGTGTGTACCAATTAAAGTTAAGTCTTAAGTCTTTGGCCTAGCATTTGAGGTATGTCCTGTGCAAAATATCTGACAATTTGACAGTTATAGTAAAAAATCTTTTTTAAATTAAAATACTAGATAATCCAATGTATATTGCATGGTTCCCGCTTGTAGTAATATACATCTGAAGATGACATCTGTATTTTTAAGGTATGTTATATGCACTTGTATAATCAGTATTTTTTTTAATTTATGTGTCGGGCTGTTGTGTATGTAAAAATGATTTTATATTTTTAGTTGACTGAAGGGGGGCAAATGACACTCAAAACGTGTGTGTAAATGCATATCAACAAAAATTGAAATAAAGAAATGAATCGTGCCAAGTGATCGTTATTATGCCACATCGCGCTTATAAAACAAATAAAAAATACAACACAATTTCAAAATACAGAATATTTTTTTAAAAAATTAAAACTATGGAAAAGAAAAATAAATGAAGATGGAGAAAAGGATGTTTTCCCTTGCTGCAACAATGTTTGACTTCCAATGGAGTTGATTTCTCTTGCAGTGTGAACTCTATTTTTGAAGAATATTTATCACAGCTTATCACCTGGTTTGAGAAATATTTTCATAATTATATCATCAATAAATTTTCATGGATTCAAGATCTATTTAATGCCAGTGCTCCATCTGAATTTACTGCTGCAGAAGAAGAGAATCTTATTGAGTTGTCTTGTGACAATACGTTGATAACAAAATTTAGCAGCTGGAATTAACTGAACTTTGGATATCAGTAAAAGATGAATATCCTTTCTGAGTGATACAGCTCAGAAAATCTTAATTTCATTTGCGACTTCTGATTAGTGCAAAGTTGAGCTTGTTGCTGTGATAAAAACTAAGCATTGCACAAAAATCAATGTGGAGAAGGAAATGAGGGTGGCTGCGTCCAGTTTAATTCCAAGGTTTGAGAAAATGTGCGGTAATCAACAGGCTCATCCATCCCACTAATTATAATTAATTGAATTTGCTCAAATATATTTTTTGTTACCTTATATATGAGTTTTATTTATTTTTTACTTAATGTTCTAACTCTTTAATTAAAAAGATATTAGCTATTTCTCTATTTTGCAAATTGTACTTGTTAGAATTTGACATTACGGTACCTTGGGAAAATCTGAATTTAGCAACGGTGCCGCGAATCAAAACAGTTTGGAAACCACTGCATAGATTGTCAATAATCAATATGTAGCCTATTTGTGGCAAGATTCTGAAATTCTTTACTTGTCAGAACCTATACTATCTGGAATAATTGTGCTTATGTGTCTTAATTTTAAACCATGCCCAGTAACTTCAATAACTGCATTATGTCAGGTTATGCAAATTGGGAAAGGATATAAATGAGTATGAAGTATGCAAGTATGAAGTTTTTCTTCATAAACCTGATTATTAAAGCCAAAGAAATAGCTGAATTATCGGGCTATAAGCTTGATGCCGCTATTAAAGCAGCTGAGGTAGACAAATCAAGAATACTAGAGAGCAAAAGTACTACTACAATCTTGAAAAAGAACTAGAAATCTTCCAGGCTACAGACAAGAAAACATATGACATCTGTCTTCTCTTAAAAGCATTACAGATGATTCCACTACCCACATCAACTAAATCAAAAAGGGCATTCTCGGTAGCAGGACTTTTCATTATTAAAATAAGAACCAGATCGACTGATCGGACTATTGACCATCTTTGCTTTTTAAAATCTTATTATAAAAACTTACAATAATATTTGTATTATGTTTTATTTAAAAAATGAAAGTTACTTTCTAAGTTCATTTTTTTTTCCTTTAAATTTTCAATTCAATTCAAAGGCATTTTTTTTGTTGTTGTTGTTGTAAGCAGTTTCCAACAAACTTTAATAGATCTAGCAATTTTCCCAGTGTCTATTCAAAACCATATATAATTGTGAAAGATAATAACGCTCGTAGTTGGGAGCTAGTATGCTTAATCTCTTCTTAAATGGATTTTTTGATGTAGTCTGCCATAATGTAAATGGTTGGAGTTTAAAATAAAGACAATTCTATTAGAAGATTTAAAAATTTGTTCATTATATTGCATAATAAATCCAATAAGTTTGTGTAGTGCATTTGCAGAAGATTGTCAGTTGTCCAATACATAGAGAAGTTTGTTATAAGAATTTAGAATTAGGGAATTTCCTATTCCCTAAATATATCAACAGTTCCTATACAGTTTATATTTACTCTGATATTTATATTAAATATTTTAAGTATAAAGATTTTTAAATTAGCAAATGCAAAAATTTTCTCAATTTTATAATTTATTCATTTTGATAAACAAAAATGCATACTTACGTATCTTGCACTTCAATTCCCATATTCAAAGCAGTTTTATGAACGTAACTTTCAAAGCATTCCAAAACAGAAAAATCATATCCTTTAATTTGTACATTAAGCAGAGGATAGACTGGAAATTTTGGTTTCAAATACTATAAATAGATTTTATAATAAAATTATTAAGTAATTTTATATGTATACTATACAATTAATAAATAATTCTCAATAAACTTATAAAAATCTCCATACTTCTAAACAAAATAAATATAAATTAGAAATTACGCAGATTATACTGACAGAATGTAAAAATATAGGTTGTGTTTTTAGAAATTACCTGTAAGTATTCTGGTTCATGTATAGAATGAAACGACCGAGCCGTTCTGCTTTTTGGCAGACTTCTACACAAATTTGTGCAATACCGCAAACAAATCTGCAATTAATATTAAAATAATTGTTAAAAATTCCCATACTGAAGTTAGTTTTCTTTTATAAAATGTTAAGACCACAAATACAATTACCACTACTTATATTTTATTATTTTTTAACTAAACGAGTAAACTTAATTAGATATTACAAAAAAGAAAGAATTCATTAAAACATATACTAATTCCAACATATTTGTCTTTCGGTCTGTTTCTTGTTTTTTCTCTTCTTTATTCCAGTTTTAGACAATAAGGAGGAGAAGGAACTGGAAGTCAAGTAGAAAGAAAACTCAGTATCAGAAAAATGCGGAAGTTAGAAAAGCAGGACTACCAACAAGAACAGTTTGTCGTTCTTCAATACAGAGCGATATATAAGATTTTTAAATTGAGTTACTTATTTTGTTTTTATTTCATTTTGTAGAGCCTCAGTATAATGGCTAATATTTTCTTTTAGAAAAGAGAGCAATTATTTGTGCTTGGATTTATCATCTTAATTTTCTTTGGAAGTAATGTAAAAGAAAGTTTCTTAATGTTACCTCACATGCCTAAAATTAATTAGCAGGAACTGCTTTAATGATTGCTGTCAGATTCACAGATAAATGAAAGGTTAAATTGAAATTTAAGCAAAGAATAAAAGGCCTCTAGCTAAAATGCATAGTGGTTTTATTGTAGGTTATTCTAATGCTTTATTTCTTATCATTAATGCATATACCCTCAGGAAAATGACAATACACCACCGAATACACGAGTAGTGAGTATTTTAAATGATACAAATGCTACGAAATATAGAAAATAGCAGATGATAAATGAAAAAATCAGGGTAACAGACTACACAGCGATAGAAACAGACTTACTCTATTCATTGCTGATAAGTAAAATGCTTTCAGTTCCCCTCCACACACATCGATAGAAAATCAACACACACCCACGTGGGAAAATCTATTTCATAGTAACGTATCATCAGAAAGTTTCGAATTCGTTTCCTTAAAATAGAAAATTAATTTCTTCGAAACTTTTTACATAAAATATTTCGTTATTAAATAATATTTAATAATAATTAATATTTTAAATGATATTTTATTAAATATTTTGACGAAGCCATCTGGTGTTCAAAGTTTGCAATTTATATACAGTAATTCAGTTACTTACGTCACATACTCGTGTCTACGTCATACTTTTTCATTTATATTACTGTTTATTGATAGTTCTATTTTAATTTATTAATAATTATTGATTTAAAATTTATTCTATATATTCGAATACAAAATTTTATCTACATTTTTATTTAAATATTTAAATCTACATATAATCATTAACGTGTAAAAATATATTTAAAATAATACTACATTTTTTAAATAATTCCATACAGTTTATCGTTTATGTATAATTAACACGTGTGATAATAATTTTGTGCTTTAACAATATAATTTAATTAAATTAACATCAATATATTTTTAAGCAATTGGACGCTAGATGCCGCCACACTTTCATAGCAAATTCTGACGTGCGACTAAATATCCAGATGGCACAACGCGCTGATTGGCCAGCTGAATGACGTCAATCTACTTAAATCGGAAATGTTGATCTATCAGCCTAAACTTTGTATTGTTATTGTTGTTGTTGTGGTTGTGGTTGTGGTTGTGAGAGTGGGCAGACATTATATAATAGTTATAGACATTTCATCTAAAACTTGATAAAAGGCACTTACAGTATTTATAATTTCACTAGCTCTTGTGTGTATTGACATTAATTGAAAATTTTGCAATAATTTTAACATTAAACTAAATTACTTGATATCAAAGATTTTAATGCTGAGACATTTTTAAACATCAAGAAGTAACTTTTATCTGTTTTGTATTTTTGTAAGCTTTTTTGTACATTTACTATAATAATAAAATAATCAAAAATAACAAATGTAAATTGCAAATTAAGCTATTTTTTACATTTTTTATTAGACAATACAGTATTTTTAAGCTTACAAAAACTTGTATTTAATGTTTTATATATATTACAACAGAATATGCTAAGTGGAAATGCAGATTAGTTAACAATTTAATATATGTTTTCACCTAAACATAATTCATGCTTTTTAATGCATAATTTTTAAAACATTTTAAATAATAAGTTATTTTTTTCTACAAATTCTCTAATCCATTGGTTTGCTTTTCAAATCAAATCCTTTAAATATAGACACTAAATATATATTTTTCTATGCAACCAGGTATACAGCACATACAAGACATCTAGAAATAGTTATTCATTAGTATGGTACTATTATTTCAACAAAAAATAAAAAAAGGCTAAAAAAAATAGCTTACTATGAAAACATTAGTCTACAGTACAAGTGTAACATTACTTTTTCCTGACACATATTGATAAACAATTTCCACGATGAAATGTATGGAAATTCTTATTTAAAACATATTTAACTATTATATTCAAAGGAATTTAAATACTTACAGTATTATTGTTATATTGATTGTTTTTATGAATATCTGTAACAAAGTAAAAATTTTCTGTTATTTATTATCTGTGCACGTAAATTTAAAACACTAATCGCACTATTAAAATGATCTATTGTGTGTGATTTGGTTCAGAGGTGCATAAAGATCAAGTATGAAGTTAAATGTTCAAAAAAATAAATAATCAGCTGTATTTTTACTTTATACTCACTCTATATTACAACTAAAAAAATAATCTATTTCGTCACGATTCGTTCTGACGACCACAAAATATAATCTATACTTCGGTGGTTTGACGTCATTCAGCTGACCAATCTGGATATTTAGTCGCACGTCAAATTCTGTACGTACGGGTACGTTCGTAAAGTCGAACGAATCGGTACGGTTGCTCGATTTTGATGACGTTTCAAACAAAACGTGAACGGAATTTACATTTCTAAATCTACTCGCGATCACGTGACGTCATCACGTAATCTCACGTTCGGAATAATACACAGCGCGGGGTACTGTGTATTATTCCTTAAATCGGAGTATGCGTTACGTAATTTTAGGTGTGGTAAGTGCGACAGTATTACAGGCTATAACGGCGCTATGATTTTTATTTTTTGGAAGGGCAGAAGTGGGTATTATCTGCAAATTTCATTAGGAAACACACGCCTCACTAAAACAATACTCTATACAAGACATATAAGCGAAATAAATTCACGTTAAATGCCCTTAATGGCACTGCTTGCCTTTGATGGTACGGTTCGTGCTTTTAGCATAAAAATATAAATTTTTAGGGTCCTCCGAGTCAGATGTCCGGTCCATCTGTACTCTAATCGCATCTTGTTACGATAGTACGCATTATGGAATACTCAGTGTACAACATACGCGCAGGAATTCTTGCAAGTAGCCCACGTTTTGCTACGAGTATACAACGAATACTACGTAGAATTCATACACCAAGGATAGTGTACTGTCTTCTCTAATTTCACAGAAATATTCACTTATGTATAAGAAAATATATACAGTAAGCCTATTTAAACTTTACTTATGTAAAGTATGAACTCACAACACTGCAATTACTAAGAGGGGGCACTTTTCGAGTCCATTGTTCTGCCAGTCCCACATATCCAAGGTCAGGATTAATCCATTGACGAAAGTTTCTGAAATGACCGGAACTCGAACCCGAATAGTCCAGAGCAAAAAGATTAATTCTTTTATATGGCATTCTCTTCACGTTCCACCATTTTGATTATTGTTTAGAACATTAGGCATACTTAAAATCGAGCTTAAGGTCGATACTTACGGAAGATTTATGATGAATGAACACGACACGATACGGAAGATTCCAATTCGTGAATGGTACAAAATGTAATTTATCATCCATAATATAAAGTTTCGAATCACAAACATCTATTTGTCTCTACCAATTGCTTTTTAACACTGTTTTCCCTTTGTTTCCGCTTAAAAATAACGAATAAAAAGATTAAATGAAAGAACAGAAGAATACAACAAATTTTAAATGCACACTTAAACTATTACGGCGCGTAAATTAAACATATAGTGTGGCCCACAAGTCGGTTAACAGTTGTAAACACTAAATTGCTATTCTTTTCGAGAAGTAAAGTTAATTATGCAGTAAAAAAACTAGTCTGTCCAGTGGTTAACTGATTTTTGGGCCATCCCTCCAGTGGTTAACTGATTTTTGGGCCATCCAGTGGTTAACTGATTTTGGGCCATCCATTTGGGAGGATGGCCCAAAAATCAGTTAACTACTGGACAGTTAAATTTCGTATCTAATCTCGAAATTTAAAGAAAATTATTTGCTTAATTTAAGGAGTAATTGTTGTTTAATTAAAGTAAGGCGCTTGTGGTCGATCCAGCTTATTGTTTAGTGTGCATTTTTGTATATTTTTTTGTCCTAGTGTCCGACTTAGTAGCATCCGTCTGTACTACTTTGGTGTGTGGAGGGTGAAGTGGCTCGCACCCGGATTCTCTTTTGAAGAAAAGAAAGCGGAGATCGTAATCTGATCGTAAACTGTAGCGAGAAGAAGAAGAAGAAAAAAAAATATCCTGGATTACTTCCTTTCGGTATTTAGGACAATACGTTAACAATTTTTTATATACAATATATTTATACAATGCTTAAAAACACGGAGAAAATCTATAATTTAAAACTTTTTATTGGAATTATTCTTAAATTTTCGTCCAGAAAATTAGCTCGTAACATAGAAACTACACTGATATACAGTCGACCCCCTATAACATTGTCGATAATTCCGTTTTATATGAATTCCATATTGTACGAGTCACTTAGATTTTACAAATACGTGTGCCGTTCACAGCCCGGCACACGTATTTGTAAAATCTAAGTGACTCGTACAATATGGAATTCATATAAAACGGAATTATCAACAGTGTTATAGGGGGGTCGACTTGTACGTTGAGGGTGGATCGAAAGTCATTCAACCCAAAATTGATGTCTTATTTCGTAATTTAACTATGACGAATTTGTAAAAAAAAATATAATAATAAAGCACGTTGTTTTAAGCCCAATTTACGATTTATATATTCACTATTACACAAGCAAAACACTCGTGAGCAGTCCTGTATCTAGAGGGTTTCTAAGATGCCCTATCAAATTAGTGACACTAATTTGATAGGGCATCTTAGAAACCCTCTAGATAGAGGGCCACTTTCCCTATCCCTCTATGTACCCTAAATATTTAATATCGAAGAGGATACAATGCGATTTAAAAAATGAAGGCCTGAATATTTCATGGGTTTAGGGCCCTTGACGTAAATAAATTTTTTTTTCTGGAAGTAGCGTACAAAGTTATTGCAGGAAAGTTATATTTTTACTTACGACGTTTTTTTTGCTCCAAGTACACGGTCTAATCGGTCCATAAATTCTCTTAAACTGGAATTTCAGACGACTCCGAATGGAGTTAACGAAGAGAAGATTTCCGGGTTGCTTTGTTCTATCCATTTAACTAATCCAGACATCTTATATTTAAATCTTTATATATTTTCTAGTAGGAAACACTAAAAATAATTGTTTTTAAGTTAAAAAGATTCAAAATTTTTACGCCAGTTTATTCCATCCAGTGGAGCGTTATAGCTTCGTGGGTACTCGGAGGAATTTGAATTAGGGTGCCCCATGTACGATGTTAAATTCAGACGTGTTTCTTCAGGAAAATATCTTATTGTATAAGATTAATTTAGGGTCCTCCTGTTAGTGGGGGGCCCAGGCGATTACCCTTTATTGTTCTTAAGTGAGGATTTTAGCTTTTTCGAACACGTTCACAACCCCTTTGCCGTATTTAATTTTCGAATTAATTTATATACAAAGATAACAGAGGTTTAATTTTTAATAAATTTTAACATTAAACGGGCGATTACACGCGATAAGAATATGCAAATTAAATCGAAGGAGATCGATATCTGGAAAAAAAATCGATCGTAAATAATAACAAACGATAAGGGATCATCTCGGATTTAATTATCCTCGATAGGATATCTTTCAAGTTCAATGACAGTATAGTAGTTAGTCGGAAAGATCGGGTCAAAGGTTTAATCAAAAAATAATATATAAATATTTTTTTTTCTTATTCTTTCCTGTCATACTTGATATACCAGTCACATTATTCGAATTGAATCTACTCTCCAATCTAGAAAATACGTTAGAATCATGAGGTGAAGTGTACGTCGAGGGGGTGAGTTTAAGTGCAATTCATGCTCGGTCAGTTAGGGGTTATGGAGTTATGGTTACACTACACACCCATGATTTTTCTTACTATCTTATGAACGACCGCAGTCGTTTACATACGCCTCGACGAACCCTTGGCACCATTTTGTTCGCGTGGGAGAGAATGCGCGACTCACCACGAATTTCTGTATCACGAATTTTTTTTTTTAATATAAGGAGGCGATGCGGAAGTAAAAAAATAACAACAACACTTCCATATAAACCTATATAATTGATTTTTCTTCAAGTTCGAATGTAGATCTATCGATGACGACTAAATTACGTGCTTAAAATACACCCTCTTCGAAGACCCGATTTTAGTAAAAGCTATACAAGATATATGGCTTAAGGCCTCACTCTATAAGGGGCCTCGTTTCGTGCCCATAAAAAAAAATTAATATGTATTTCTTGGAGAGGAGGGACCTTTTAAATTCTTTCAATTCTAAATCCGGTCCTGCATTCGTGACGTCTAATTAAGAAAGTGACCATTAACCCGGTCAGAATCTTTGGCTTATATTCGGGTGTAAGACCTTCGAAAGGGGGAGTTCTCCCGAAAAAAATTTATGCTCTCACAATGGTTCCTACCCTTATTAATTAATGCTAATTTTACTAACAAAAACAAAAAAATCTTTAATGTTATTTTTATTGATAAAGAAACAGCCCACGTATTTCGTTTTATCACCAAAAAATGGCAAAAAGGACCCACTGAGGAGAAAAAAAGGGCCCCTCTCTACCTACGGGTCCCATACAAGCTCTCGAATGACCTGGATCTGAATCGCATTTTATTCTATAATTCGTCTACGTAATTAGTCCAATAAATATACGTTCAACACGATTATAGACTGAGAAACTCTATATATTATTCTTGAATAAAATCAAAAAAGGTACTCAGTAAACTGTAAGAGAAATAGCATTGTTTCTTACGTCAGCCTTCAAGAATACAAGCCTTATAATAATATAAAACTAATTCTACAACACCCCCAAAGCGTGACCATTCCTCATACGTCCTTCACTCATTTATCATCAGAAAACAAGTATATTCTGATAAAAATCTACGTTATTTTATTTTATTTTTTTACTATTATTTACCAAAACGAAACCTTACAACACCATCTTGTGTACTAGGAAATTACTGCACGAAAAAGAAGAAAGAAATAAAAAAAAATGGCAGAATGGATTCGTTGTATCAATTTCTGGGAAGCGTGGCATAGTAGTAAAATGCCAAGAGCAAATGTCGTAAACACTAGAGAATGGCTTATAGTATTTTTAATAACATTATACCCCGGGCATTATAATTCAGATATGATTTTCTTGGCATCTGTATGCATTGTAATTTATCGGTTACAATGTTGTATACCTAGTTCCGGCCCGATCTGTCTGACATCATAGGAGCTTCCGGGAGAGTAACTCCTCCCCATCCAAGCATGAACTCTTCGCCCGGATGAGTATGTTTGTCTCGCTGACCCGGTGGCCGAAGTATATAAAGAGCTGCAAGGTCATCGTCTCTATCATTCTCTTACCTGAAACTAGACCAGGAACGTTCTACCAGGCCCAGGTTTGTACCGATTTTTCGTATTTATCTAACGTCTTTATGCTATTTACATAACGTTATTCAAATCTGGGTATGTTTTTATATTATTTTTAATTAAAATATAAATTAATTAGATGTTATACGCCTCTCATTTCATCTTGTATGACAATCGGAGGTAATTTAAATTCATTTTATCCAAGATAATATGACTTAAATGATCTGTATTTGAAGTACAGTAAAACCTGTGTAAACCGGAATCGCGCGGTACCGAATGTTTGCCAGGTTTCCTTTTTAATCAGGTTTTACTGTAACCTTAAATTGCTTGTACTAAAAATAGCTTTCAACCAGTTCAAATCGAATATCTGAAGCATTTTTACTAGAAAATTATTGATTATAACATATTCTTGAAGCACTAGAGTACAAAATTCATTCAGAAAATACACTCCTCCTATTGAGGATCGTTACTAAAATGTTTTGCAACGAATTAAAATCGATTATTTGCAACATTTTTAATGAAAAATCGTAAGTTTCTTCTTCAGATATTCGATATTTTCTAAAAGTCACGCTTATTCCGGATCGAGGTATTATTATTATTGCATTTGAAATGAAATTTGTAAATAATGGGGTATCCGAAGAGAATATTTTCATTTGTTTAAGCAATTTATAATTAGGGAAACTCAATTAAAACTGTCAAAATGTATAGTGTTTTTTTTACAGACTCGATTATTTCATCATCACTAACGACCCTTCATCACATTCGTGATGATAAGTAAACTTCCTCTCCATACAATAACACTTGCATTATTACGGGATCGTGATTTATTAAACATAAACGCCCCTCTGATGAAGTGATAAGTCCGTGTAAAAAATCATAATTACCTTATTTTTTTTAAAGGTTATTTCATTAATTAACGTTCTATTCTTATATTCTATGTTATTTTATTTAAAAAATACAATATTATTCGATTAATATTATTATAAAAAGTTGAACCGCCTTCCATTGTGATTTAACCAAAAAAAATCCATTTCTTGGCACTCAATAATTGCTGCCATATCGTTAATGAGATTCACGGCAATTTACCAACAGATATTAATTAAAAATGAACTCTTCAAGGCTCATCGGATGATATAAATAGAATTTTTATCTGATTCAATTTAAAATTAGAAAGTTTTTCTTGGGAACTACCTGAATTACCAACTCTTCAATTATGCAAACAACTCGTCTGTAAAGACGGTCGTCGACTGTATGACTCGCAATGTCACCTTCTGAACTTCTGTTATTTTTTAATTGCATACGATTAAATCATCAGGAAATGGCTCTTAAGAGGTGTTTATTCATCTTTAACTTTTAATTAAATGTTAAAAATCCTCGATAAATCATTGCAACTTGTGAACTTTCTTATAGTAGTAAACACTATAATTGCGTAAAGGATACGTTTAGAAGGTTCTTCCGTATCAATTTGCATGAATAGCTCATTGCAAATGATGCAAACTAAGCATAACAAACTGCATAAACTGTTTATCTCGAATATTTTAATTATGTTACTCAGAAGACGGAAGAATGATCGAACCAACGATGTAACAAACTTTTATTCGTTCAGTTGAACCTCGAATCAATGAAGGATCAAAAAGCAAACATGTTATTTGTTAGTTACTAGGTTAATATAAAGGAAAAATTTGCAAATATTTAAATTCTATACCGGATTTAAATGGTAGGATCAAGCGAAACTCGTAACAAAGAAGTGGAGTAAATTCAGAAAGATTAGTAAAGTGTGAAAGGTAATCAAACTATAACAAAAGAGGAACCAAGAAAACTGAGTCAAAAGATTAAAAAGTTGGCGAAATGGTCCGTTAAAACAAACGTTATAAAGAATTCCTCGTAGCGTGTACCACTTAAATAAAACAGTACGCCTTTGTGCATCATTAATTCGGTACACGGATAATTATAAGAAGCGTGACGTCACCCGCCTGGCAGGATTCTACCGCGACCCTTTTCGATAGCGTGACAGTTTTAAAAGGTCACGGTCAACGACCTAAACGAGAAATTGGGTTATTGTCGTAAGAACCATTAAGCACAGAATCCGGGTGCGGGTCAGACGCATTCCACCCGGAAGCTCCCATTCTAAACAACAAGAACACAAAAAAAAAACAAAGAAAATTCAATTCATTTTTTAATGTTTTACAAGTTTAAGAACTTGTTCTCCATATTTTTTATTCCTTTTTATTTCTTACAGGTTATCAAAAATGTCGAAATCTTTCTGGTTCTTCCTCTTCGTCTTTGGTATGGTGGTGTGTTCCGCATTGCCAAGTCCGGATGGAAAATCGGAAACGGAAAAAAACACGGAAACTGTTAAAAGTAGCTCGAGAGAAGCGAGATTCGACGAGAGAAAATTTAAACAAGAGATCGATAAGAACGAAATTTCTCAGTTTATGTCTTCTAAGAACGTCATCAAGACTTTAGTCAAATTGATATTTGGAAGTGATGAAGAGAGCGCTGCCACTTCTAGAAAAATCCTGCATTTGTTGGTGAACGTGTTGGACATGTTGAAAACTACACTGGGCCAGAGATCGCGCTCATCTCAAGCTAGAAGCGTAAGAGATACTTTAGACGAAGCAGCTTTGGCTGGTGCATCTATGCTGAAAGGATACGTCAAGTCTATCTTGACTAGAGATGCAAGATGCGCCCAGAAGTATATCTGTGAAGCTAGTAAGGATGCGGTGAAGGAAGGAGACAAAATTGGTTACATCGTTGCCCAATTTGGAGGGTAAGTCTGCTATTCATATAATCAGTAGGATTTCAAAATTAAATTACTACAAACTTAAATTTTATCTAAGAATGAATTCGATATCCTTCATCTTCTAAGTTTCTTTAGAGCTTAGATTCATTTAGATCCTGAAGAGTATATATTCAAATTTAAATAAACAACATAGGATTACAAAACTTCAAAAATTCTTGTGATCTTTCTATGTATATAGGGCTGAAGATCTATTTTTCTGGCTAAAACTTAGCTAAACACCTAGAAAAACTTTGCTCTTAAATGATTTATAACATGCCTCGCTACTGTCCTAATTTATTATCATCGTTGAAAAAATCCTTTATCTGTGTATATACAGTTGAACATACAGAACTTTAATTTTCAATTCTAAAACTGTTTTCTCATAACAACACCTCTTGTAGAATGTTTAGAATGTTTATGAGCTTCTAAATGCAGACTGAGCAGCCATATTGTAACGTTCAGAGTACAATAGTAAAGTGAAAAAGAAAAAAACAAGCACTGTTTTGCTTAAATAATAATAAAACTCGTATGTAACTTCAAATTTATACTGGGCAGTTGGGGGTTATATTTAGACATACGAAAACTTAAATTCTCTCATTAATTTACATTTTTATATTTGCTTTAATTTGTTAATTGATTAATTTTAAACACAGAAAACATATTTATTACCTTTCACCATTCAGTAATTATTATGTATATTTTTCTTTCCTTAAATACAGTAATTAAAGTTTTAAGTTTAAGTTCTTATGCTAATATGCAAGATATTAAAAACATTTTCAATTCAAACAAACATCTTGATATAATGTAATGTTTTGAATTTGAAAAATATTCTTATCTAAATAAATAAATTTTTCTTTGTAGGTATGCAGTCAGTTACATGTTAGAAAACCAAAAATTAATACCATTCCAGATGAATTATAATGCTTCCAGGAAGGGAAGAAGTGGAGAAGATTGCCTAAGCATTTTCCAGTCTTGCAATGAAACCGAATGATTGAAATTATGACATTTTTTGTGAGTTTTAATGTCTTTTCTTAAAAAAAAATATAATCGACGAAGACGCTGTGCGTTTGAGTTTGAAGAAATTTTAGTACTCGATGTACGCATACACGATTTGTATACCAATAGATATTAGTAGTTATTCGAAATATTTCAAGTACTTTGAATCTTCTCTACGGATCACGATACTTTGCTCACAAACATTTTTGCATTCCATTGGATTTTGTAAATGGTCAGTTTTGTAATTCCTTGGTTCTTGACAATGCCAGCAGATTGTTATTTATTAAATACACAGACTTTTTTACCATGTGGAAGGTTTTGTTTTGTATTATAATAAAACATTTTTTTAATAATTTAATCACATTTCACATCAATTTTGTACATTTTTTTAAATAAATTCAAATATAAAGAAAAGTTTCGTGTGTTCATGTCATTAAATTATATTTTCATAAACACCAATTAATACTGAAGCAACTTCTTGTTTCGTTTCAATTTCAGTTTCAAAATTTTAAGCTTAGAGTATTGCTTTTTTTTTACGAACTTATCATACGAGAAATGTTTGAACTAATCTTGTAACTAATATCAATAAAGCCTAAATTAGTTCCTGTTTTCTGTGTGATAAGTCAGTAAAACAAGCAATACTCTAAGCTGTGAATTTTGAAACTGAAGTGAGTGTCTAAGGACGACTCAAATATGATATATGTTTTTCTAAAATTTGCTATAAGTAATACATACAAAAATCACATCTAAAATGTCTATATTAATTATAGAAGTTGCAATCTATAGCTTAATATCTGTTATTTTTGACTGATAATTTTTGAAATGCTTAATCATACTGTAAAATTTATTATAAATAATGTATTGAGACATTTCCATTTTATATATTAAATTAACAGCTATTAGCAGAGCCAAATAATTTTGTTTTAAAATTATTTGACTCTGTCCATCTGTAAAATATTTGTAATCAGAAAAAATAATTTATCTATCATAAAATATTATCAAAAACTACTTTAATTTTTAAAAATACATTCCTAAAATATTTTGCCTTTACACATCAATGTACACAATGCAATTTTAAAGAAGTATGATTTTTTAAAATAATTCTAGAAATAATAATATTTACATGATAAATATTTGTTTTATAAAATCACACCTTTCACTCCTTCAGTTATGACGACAAAATGACAAGTCGAAGAGGGAAGATGAGGAGAAAATATAACTTTCATGTTTCGGACTTTCTGTTCTGTCAAATAATTTCTCGAATTGGTCTCTATTTTATAAGTAATATTAGTTCGCGTAAGCATTATTCTAGTGTGAATTAGATTGGACCACGTTAATCCCAGAGATGGAATGGTACAATTGTTTGATTCATTCATAGTTTCATCAATAATATCAGTGACCTAAAAACAGGTATGTTTAATTGAAACAAATAACATTTATCACCAAAAAAAATTTACACTTGCCTACCTGATTAACACAAATAACAGAAAGTTCGTGTGCGGTTGCTAACCTACGAAGAATTAATCCCAATTTCCGTAGCTCGTGAGATCTTTCCATAGTTTGGTCAATGCCATACTCACATCTGAAGAGAGCAGCTACCGAATCAAGAATAACTAATTTTATATTTCTTGACGTTATCAATGGTGGTAGTTGTTTCTCTAAGCATTTCCACAAGTTTGGCTGTAATATGAAGTAATAAAAGTCAATAAATAAAATCTTAAATATAAAAATCTTACATACATTATTTATTACTTTGTAGAGACTACTTACCAAATCACCAATTTGAGTTATATATATGTTATCCATAAAATAATTTAAATCATAGCATTTATATAACTTCTGAACCATGATTTCTATCATTTGATGTAACCTTTTTATTGGAAAAACATCCTCAGTGCAAATATAAACAACACCTAGAGAACAAAATAACAAACTAACATTTTCAGTTTCTTCAATAAAATAATCTGTTTGAATACTAACCGCCGTTAAGTCCACCTAATTCAATCGGCAATCGCATCTGGATCGATAACTGCAAGCACAATTGGGTTTTTCCACTCGCACTCTCTCCAGATATTTCTGTGATATGATGTAGAAGAATTCCTCCTCGTAAGAACGAATTTAATATTCCGCACCCTGTACTCAATTTTTTAAGTTTAAATACATTAGGACATTCGCCATGCTTAATCTGTAATGCTGTTAAAAGAAAGATTTTATATGAGATTTGATAATTATATGTTTAAAGTAAAAAAAAAATTTCTTACCAGTTGAAAACGATGAATTTTTTAAAACATGACGTGCAACAGATGTCAAAATAGTAGTAATTTCTTGATGAGAAAGTCTTGTCTTATGTTGCAATTCTGATTCAGAGAGAGCAAGAATATTTTTACATGTCAACAACTTGGCTGGAAAAAATTAATTTTACTACTGTAATATAATAAATTACAATAGATTGAATGGTAGTAAATATTGTTTGAATGTCATTAAATGCGCGATAAAAACACAAAACAATTCAAGGGCTTGCGGATGGTTAAGTCCACTTTCGGATCTATAGAGTAATTTAAAACACAAACAATCAAACTCAAAAAACATTTTACTTCAATAATAGTAATGATGTATTGTTTTAACTTTAAAACAACACCTTCAAAATATATTTATTTAAATTTTTATAATTAATATACTCAATTAATTTCTTGTATAGTTAAAAACTTAAATAATTACAGTTGCTTTTATGATAATTTTCTGAAGAGAAGTTTTCTATTGATATTATTATTAAGTAGAATGCTTCTTGATTTTATACAAGTTAGCACACTTTATTTTTTGAATCTTTGAAGATTATCTGTATTTTTGTTGTAAATTTGATTAATCTATGACACAACAGTTAATATGAAATAGTTGTAAACATGTAATTTGAGAAATAAGAACATAGAATTAACATTTAATCAGGTTATGAACTCTATAATTGAATATAACTAATGCAAATGCTATAAGTAATAGAATAAATAAAAACATTTAAAATGTAAAGCAATATATACAAACAAAACTGTACTGCAAAAACTATAAATTAAATGCGATATTCCAAATGCGGTTAGAAATTAAATAAAAATGAAGAATATCAGTATTAAATATTATTATTATTTACTCCAAGCACATATCAATAATTAGAAAATTAATATTTAGTTTAAATATTCAATTTACTAATATATTTTTACATCAGAATTACCAGTAGAGTAAATGAAAATTTCTTTATTAAAAGAAAAAAATTATATACATGTACAAATCTATAATAGAGAGGGTTGCGGCCGACGTTTTCAACGCGAAAATGTGTACGTCGGACGTTCAGCGCCGCCTTCCTGCGAGCCTAGAAGTTTGACAATGGCATTCGGAACGTCAGTAGAATCGTGCTCAACGTTCTAAACGCCATTGTCAAACTTCTAGGCTCNTGTTCATCCAGACAAGATAGCCTTCACTGTTCTCTACCATGAATGAGGTGTGGTTGTCCAACTTCCTTTTGGCAGTTTACAATTTATTCATTGTCAGACAACTGTCAGTACCTACTCAATACAGACACATGAACAGCCTAGTTCAAATCAGCTCAGCCACAATCTCAGCTGTTTTTGAAACACTGCAACCAACCATCTGGCCATAATGATTTGGTCTTTATCAAGTTCAGACAGATCCTTTTGCTTGCCTATAATTGCAGTGTACAAGTTTGGAAAACAATTACGAGATGTATCTTGCCCATTTTATACACTCATGGTCTAGGAGACAATTGATATGATCCTATCCAGTGCCGTATTTAGAACATAAGCGGCCCTGGGTCAGGAGCAAGATGGGGCTCCCTTAATGAAACAGAAACAATAGTATATTACAGACTTAGGGATGCATTATTTGTTTCCTCCCGTAGAGTATATATGATTTTTCACATCCCTTGGCCAGGAAGTGGAATTTTCTTTCCATGCAGCAGGAAGAAAGTATTGTTTTTGGCCGAGGTGTGGTGAATAAGTATCAAAAATTTTGTAAGTTTACTTAGTTTTAAGATCATTTTTAACTACATATAGGAGAAATAAAGTATTTTATATTTTTAATAATTTGTTTATTTTAACTTATTAACCTATTTTTTATTTGTAACTTTATTACTTTCGGATTAGAGGCCCCTATGACCTGGGGCCTTGGGCCAGAGTCCATAAGACCTGCCCTAAAGACGGCACTGATCCTATATTTCAATTGTCTCATGTTAGATAAATGCCCTCTTCTTTTGTGTATGGAGTGGTCATAATATTTTGGCTAATTACTGTATATCAAGCCTTAAATCAGAGAGCTATTTGTTTCAAATTGTCAAAATGTTTTCAAGAAATTTAACTTATCCTCAGCAACCACAAGAAACATTCTACTTAAAATAACTCACTTTCAAACATTTGCAAATATTTAAAATATTAATTAATATTACTAACAAGTAAGCATTTTATGTAATTATTATTGCCTTATTGTCCTTAATTCTTATTATATTTGTCAACTTGGACTTATTAATAATAATAAAGTAACGTACATTATAATAAATGTTTTTAAATAAAATTAATATAGACCTTATTAATTTTTAAATATTTTCTTGTAAAGAAGTTGAGATAATTTCCAGATGAACGAGACATTGAAGGTATCACCCTTCCTGTCTGAAGGACCCAGGTTCGAGTCTGGCTCAAAATGCTTAGCTTTATTGAATAAGCTAAAGGTATAGAAAATAAACAAGTAAAACATCACAATTTAGTTATTTTTCATCGAATGGAAATAAAAAAAAAAGATAGAGCGGTCACTAGGTCTATCTTTTGTCACCACAGATTTATATCTCTCTTCCTGCCGTCCTGCGACCCACTTACGTCGCTGCTCATCATTTTTACGTTTACAAATCGGGGTCAATAAATAAATATATATATAAGATTTTAAGAAATTTTAAATTCCAGCGCCCACCAATAACTTAAAATTCTTTATAACAGGATATAATGGTTTCTATTTTTATTGGTTATTTAGTCAAGTTCTCATGACAGTTCCAGCGATCCGCCCCCGACTATGGCCGATGAGGAAGTAGTTTGAGATGGAAATTTTTTACCAGTTTTACGATTAGTAGTTTGATGAACGACCGAGGTTTTTCCCGTCTATTAATAGATCTCAAACGGATTTGGGTGGACGTCTAGACTCTATATATATATCGGATTACGAGTAAAGCCTTCATATTTCCATCGTTGTTCGGGTAAGAAGTTAGGTTTTATAAAACATTTAATGCTTTTAAGTTTAAATTAATAATCTTATATAAATTTAATGTATTTTAATTAAAATAATTTTCCTTTTGAAGTTATATATTTTAAGATTTTGCACACAATTTAACACATTAATATGAATTAGTGTCAAATATAACTTAGTATATTAATACACTGGGCTCTTGATGTATAGTAAACTTCAAAGTCATTCACTATATTCGTAAAGAATAGCAAACAGTCCACTACATCGAGGGATGACTTAAAGAACACTATATAGAGGGTCCACTGTATTTTCATTATTATTTTGTTTACCTTTAAGTAATGCAGCAGTAAGCTTAGGATTTAAGTCTAACGACTCGATTTCTGATGAATTATCCATTACACAATTCAAAATATTTATATAAGAACCACGAAGAGTTATATAAATTAATATCCAATACTAATTTTATTATTAATATTTGTAAATTCTTTATATCAGTAATATTTCCAAATTTAGACATATTGTCCAATAACAGTTAGTTATTTAAGCAATACTTTCGTTAAAATAACTTTTGTTTTATAAAAATTACGACATTTTTAATTTCCATATGTAAGTCGCCAAACACAAACAATCAAACTCAAAAAACATTTTACTTCAATAATAGTAATGATGTATTGTTTTAACTTTAAAACAACACCTTCAAAATATATTTATTTAAATTTTTATAATTAATATACTCAATTAATTTCTTGTATAGTTAAAAACTTAAATAATTACAGTTGCTTTTATGATAATTTTCTGAAGAGAAGTTTTCTATTGATATTATTATTAAGTAGAATGCTTCTTGATTTTATACAAGTTAGCACACTTTATTTTTTGAATCTTTGAAGATTATCTGTATTTTTGTTGTAAATTTGATTAATCTATGACACAACAGTTAATATGAAATAGTTGTAAACATGTAATTTGAGAAATAAGAACATAGAATTAACATTTAATTAGGTTATGAACTCTATAATTGAATATAACTAATGCAAATGCTATAAGTAATAGAATAAATAAAAACATTTAAAATGTAAAGCAATATATACAAACAAAACTGTACTGCAAAAACTATAAATTAAATGCGATATTCCAAATGCGGTTAGAAATTAAATAAAAATGAAGAATATCAGTATTAAATATTATTATTATTTACTCCAAGCACATATCAATAATTAGAAAATTAATATTTAGTTTAAATATTCAATTTACTAATATATTTTTACATCAGAATTACCAGTAGAGTAAATGAAAATTTCTTTATTAAAAGAAAAAAATTATATACATGTACAAATCTATAATAGAGAGGGTTGCGGCCGACGTTTTCAACGTCATTAAATTATATTTTCATAAACACCAATTAATACTGAAGCAACTTCTTGTTTCGTTTCAATTTCAGTTTCAAAATTTTAAGCTTAGAGTATTGCTTTTTTTTTACGAACTTATCATACGAGAAATGTTTGAACTAATCTTGTAACTAATATCAATAAAGCCTAAATTAGTNAGCCTAGAAGTTTGACAATGGCATTCGGAACGTCAGTAGAATCGTGCTCGACGTTCTAAACGCCATTGTCAAACTTCTAGGCTCGCAGGAAGGCGGTGCTGAACGTCCGACGTACACGTTTTCACGTTGAAAACATCGGCCGAAACCTCTCTAATATGTATATATTTGTAAACTTGTATACACCACAACTTAAAGTTTTAGGTACAGTAGTTAAAATCAGCTTTCTGAGTATGAAAGTATTAAAGTGACATTCAAGGTATTGTAATATATTTTCTTTCTGAACATTTTCAATGTTACAAAAATGTCATCTTCAAAACAGCATTCCAAAATGGAATATAAATTGCATGCAAGAATGTAAATATTATTCTGTATTATAAACTGATTTTAATTAGCTAGAACTAAACATTAAAATGAATTATAAACTTCAGTTATTAATTAAACAAAATTTTACTTCTGCAGAAATTATCAACATCCTGCAAGAATTATAAACCATCCATAAATGAGGAAAGCAATCAAAAAGAATAATGGATTCAAAAGCAATCCTTTCAAAAACATTCTGTTCTGTTTTCTTTACATTTGTTGCCAGATAAATTCAAAAGAAGAGGCTAATTTCTTAAAGGTTTTGCTAAACATTGACAGAAAAGAATTTTATGACACAGTATAAGATTCATCTCTTAATAATCTGTATAATCTCATAATGTATTATATGTATTCAGTAAACAGTTTAGTTTTTTTTAGAATACACTTTGTGGCATTGACCATATACTTTACGTGTATGTCAGTGAATAACCTTATGTCAAAAATAAATCTCACATTACTTAAACATTTTAATTCCCTTCTCATAAAGAGGAAATCACAAGACTTTAAATACTGTTTTAGAATATTATTCTATTTTTTAATTTTATATTTTAAGTCATTTTCACAAGCCACGACTCTATAGGAAACAAGTTGTAGAGGGTAATATCTTATCTCTCGAATTTACGGTTACTGTCAGTCTCTCATTCATTATACAATACTTGCAAGATTCGAATGGTCTCTGACAGATAAAATCTTGCAATATACGTAATCCACACATACAAATATATATCTTCTTGTTTACTATTATAATTGTACAACAGTACAGATATTAATAATATGGTATGGCTTATAATTTAATGTACAACAGTACATTAAATTATAAGCCATACCATATTATTAATGTCAAACTGACATAACCTAAAAGATACTTTCATATTTCTTGAATAGTTAATATGATTGAACAGTAATCTATACAGTAATGCCAGTAAATCAATACTTCCAGGAAAAAAATGTATAAAGTTATATATTTTAAGATTTTGCACACAATTTAACACATTAATATGAATTAGTGTCAAATATAACTTAGTATATTAATACACTGGGCTCTTGNTTATTTGTCAAATAATTTTTTAAGATTAAAGGCTAATGTGATACCTTTTTTCCCTAACATTTCACACAATTATAAATATTTACTATCAGAAGTTCATTCTAAATTGCAGTCTCTCTGTTCTAGTAGATGTAAAATTATAAAATGTAAGAAAGGCATTTTGATTCTGATGTTTCCTATTTATATTCTTTTAACGTTAAATTTAGTATTGCATATTAATACATTGTTATGATAATAAAATCTCTTCTTTTTTTCTTTGTAAGGAAAATTATAATGATTATAAAGTATTAAATATATCACATTATATGCGATTACTGAAAAATTTTTGAACAATACCACATTTCTTGTGTTCAACACCTGGAAATTGAACAGAGCAAGATTTATGCTTAAATCTAGAGTTTATTTAGTGTTTCAAAATATCTGGGCTTAATGTCTGTACCAAATTTGGTTGAGACCAGTTAAGCAGTTTTAAAGGAGTTTATTTAAATCCAATGATTTGAATGTAAAGAAATGAGTTTTGCTTATTCAATTCAATAATAAAAACAAATACATTTAAAATTTTATACTGCTGGCCAAGTAAAATGCAACATCATGTAGGACTCTAGATATTGCAGGTGTTGCATTTTACTTGGCCAGCAGTGTAAAGTAACTTTATTTAATGCTGTAAAACAAACAGAATTTGAAATCAAATTTAAATTCTTATGAACATTTTTATATTAAATTTTTTCAAGGTTGGTCTGGACTTCAGAATGCCATTTTTTAATATACCATTTGGTAATCTATTAAGTTTGACTCGTCCCAGCGATTCATCAAGCAATCTCTTAGGCTTTGGGTTAGATAGAAGAGCATTATCTTCATTGGCTGCCATAATTGTCACTTCTTTACTCTTCTTCCCCAAAGTTTTAGGTGCTATTGGATTTGGCAGTGAAAATAAAGAATTATTTAGAGGTATATTGATTTATATTCATTTCTAATTTCAATTAAATTTTTGATTCTAACAAAATGTAATTTAATCTTTAGAGAATGGACAGACAGATGATTACCTTGTTAAAAATGTTAATAAAGTTTTATCTGACTTCAACATTGATGGTGATTCCTGCATACAGACTGCTTTATGTACAATTGGCACTGCTCAACGTCAGAGACAGAAAACAAGAAGTACAGGAACAACCACCCATATTGATGTGATTGAAACATTGCTGAAGTAAGTCACTTTGATATCAACTGTGTCCTTCATATTTTTCAACAATTTTTCTCAATAAAATTTTATTATTTGCAGTTTATCATCAGTTAAGGATACCTTAAATAAAACTGGTTGGAGACAAGCTAGAGAGTATGGTTTTAATGATGGTGATTGTGATACTTACAATCCCTATAATAAATGTCCATTGAAAGCTACAGACTGGAGTCATCTGCTAACAAATGTTGGTAAAGTGTTGTAAATTAATGAGAATCAAATTTAAAGAAATCATGAACTTCGGCAGGTCCATGTTCATTATTATATAAAAATATTTTTTTAAATTATATATTGACACAAATAAAACTTATTATAATAACTAGTTTCCTGTTAATCCTTTTAAAAAGTTTACTAAAAACTGTAAATATTTGTTGAAATTTATTATGTGTACCAATTATATTACACATTTTAAAATAATCTTTTCCCCAATTATTTATATAAATAAATTTACAGATCTGATTTACAGTTATTTGATGATAATTTCCAAAAAATAATAATAATATAATTTTGTTTAAGTAATGTGTGTTTAATTAAATTGCATTTAAAAGGAAGCTACATTATTGCTTATAATGATGGATAATTTTTGCACTACACACACATTTTTTTTGGTTATAATGCAGTTCCAAGAAAGTAGGTTGTAGATTTTGTGTGGAAAATCAACTGAGAATTGTCTGTATTTAGTTAGAAAAAATGACAAATTCTCATGAAAAATAAAAAAGACAATGGAAAATAAGAATGGAAATAACATTTTTTATTTCAGTAAAATTACACTATTATGATTAGAATTACAATTAATAGATAGGAGTATTAATAAAATAAATTTGATAAATGTTAATTATTCAAGTATATTTATTTATTTAAACATCATTAAAATATTTGAGTATATATTGAAAATTTGATGCATTTGGCAGCAGCTTTCTTACTGGCTTCAAAATAGAATATACTCAATGTTGTGTAAATCAAATTTTTTATTTTGTGGTCGTCTCATTGATGATTGTAATCGGCCAGGCGGCGCCTAAATCTTTATTGTTTTCAAACAGTAAACACGTGGTCGACGAGGTTGTAAACAAAACGGAGAAGCGTGCTAGACAGTTTACTTTTCCTGATGATTCGACTAGCCAAGGTACTTTTATTCATAATGGACAAGAATACGAAATACAAACGTCGCAAGTCACCGGTAGGTATCCTGATGCGTTGACAGAGAGCGGCAATCGTCGTCTATCCATCCTTCCTCTATTGAAAGGAATGCAGGTTAGTATATAAATACACAGAAATTTGTCATTTATATTCAATATGTTTTACCATTGGTGTAGCCACGATTTTGAGAATATAATGCAAGCAGATTCGGGGAACCAATGTGATGTTTATGGTGCTGCAGCACAATAAGCAACATCTATGGTACCAAACTGGATGGTTCTCTTTGGTATCAAGTGAATGCTGCAGCACCATAAGCATCATCTCTGCATATGTCTCTGTGTTTTATATAAAGTTTTATTTGTCAAATAATTTTTTAAGATTAAAGGCTAATGTGATACCTTTTTTCCCTAACATTTCACACAATTATAAATATTTACTATCAGAAGTTCATTCTAAATTGCAGTCTCTCTATTCTAGTAGGTGTAAAATTATAAAATGTAAGAAAGGCATTTTGATTCAGATGTTTCCTATTTATATTCTTTTAACGTTAAATTTAGTATTGCATATTAATACATTGTTATGATAATAAAATCTCTTCTTTTTTTCTTTGTAAGGAAAATTATAATGATTATAAAGTATTAAATATATCACATTATATGCGATTACTGAAAAATTTTTGAACAATACCACATTTCTTGTGTTCAACACCTGGAAATTGAACAGAGCAAGATTTATGCTTAAATCTAGAGTTTATTTAGTGTTTCAAAATATCTGGGCTTAATGTCTGTACCAAATTTGGTTGAGACCAGTTAAGCAGTTTTAAAGGAGTTTATTTAAATCCAATGATTTGAATGTAAAGAAATGAGTTTTGCTTATTCAGTTCAATAATAAAAACAAATACATTTAAAATTTTATACTGCTGGCCAAGTAAAATGCAACATCATGTAGGACTCTAGATATTGCAGGTGTTGCATTTTACTTGGCCAGCAGTGTAAAATAACTTTATTTAATGCTGTAAAACAAACAGAATTTGAAATCAAATTTAAATTCTTATGAACATTTTTATATTAAATTTTTTCAAGGTTGGTCTGGACTTCAGAATGCCATTTTTTAATATACCATTTGGTAATCTATTAAGTTTGACTCGTCCCAGCGATTCATCAAGCAATCTCTTAGGCTTTGGGTTAGATAGAAGAGCATTATCTTCATTGGCTGCCATAATTGTCACTTCTTTACTCTTCTTCCCCAAAGTTTTAGGTGCTATTGGATTTGGCAGTGAAAATAAAGAATTATTTAGAGGTATATTGATTTATATTCATTTCTAATTTCAATTAAATTTTTGATTCTAACAAAATGTAATTTAATCTTTAGAGAATGGACAGACAGATGATTACCTTGTTAAAAATGTTAATAAAGTTTTATCTGACTTCAACATTGATGGTGATTCCTGCATACAGACTGCTTTATGTACAATTGGCACTGCTCAACGTCAGAGACAGAAAACAAGAAGTACAGGAACAACCACCCATATTGATGTGATTGAAACATTGCTGAAGTAAGTCACTTTGATATCAACTGTGTCCTTCATATTTTTCAACAATTTTTCTCAATAAAATTTTATTATTTGCAGTTTATCATCAGTTAAGGATACCTTAAATAAAACTGGTTGGAGACAAGCTAGAGAGTATGGTTTTAATGATGGTGATTGTGATACTTACAATCCCTATAATAAATGTCCATTGAAAGCTACAGACTGGAGTCATCTGCTAACAAATGTTGGTAAAGTGTTGTAAATTAATGAGAATCAAATTTAAAGAAATCATGAACTTCGGCAGGTCCATGTTCATTATTATATAAAAATATTTTTTTAAATTATATATTGACACAAATAAAACTTATTATAATAACTAGTTTCCTGTTAATCCTTTTAAAAAGTTTACTAAAAACTGTAAATATTTGTTGAAATTTATTATGTGTACCAATTATATTACACATTTTAAAATAATCTTTTCCCCAATTATTTATATAAATAAATTTACAGATCTGATTTACAGTTATTTGATGATAATTTCCAAAAAATAATAATAATATAATTTTGTTTAAGTAATGTGTGTTTAATTAAATTGCATTTAAAAGGAAGCTACATTATTGCTTATAATGATGGATAATTTTTGCACTACACACACATTTTTTTTGGTTATAATGCAGTTCCAAGAAAGTAGGTTGTAGATTTTGTGTGGAAAATCAACTGAGAATTGTCTGTATTTAGTTAGAAAAAATGACAAATTCTCATGAAAAATAAAAAAGACAATGGAAAATAAGAATGGAAATAACATTTTTTATTTCAGTAAAATTACACTATTATGATTAGAATTACAATTAATAGATAGGAGTATTAATAAAATAAATTTGATAAATGTTAATTATTCAAGTATATTTATTTATTTAAACATCATTAAAATATTTGAGTATATATTGAAAATTTGATGCATTTGGCAGCAGCTTTCTTACTGGCTTCAAAATAGAATATACTCAATGTTGTGTAAATCAAATTTTTTAATAATAAGAATAGCAACATAACAATCATATTATGTAATAAATGCTTATCATATATTTTAAAAAATTAAACAAAATTCAGAATACACAGTATTCATTTAAAAAGAAAGAAAAGAGCTTCTTTAGAAGCAAAATAATTATACAAGGGGGACCCAAAAATCCGAACTGAGAGCACACTGCCATTCATAGATGTAGTAGAGAGTTCTGATACATGGGGTTAGAGACCTTCACGAAACAGCTGTGCAAATGGCGTCAGTTTGTAGGTTTACATTTGAGCATAGTGTTGTGTTTCTCTTACTGTTATTTTGTTCCACCTGCAAAGTTCTGGGCATCCTTCAACATCTCAAAACGATGAAAACGTTGAAAAACTCCACCAAAAAAGTGTTAAGACGTCTGCGAGAGAATGTGTGAAGGAAACGCCCGGAACTTTGGCGATCAGGTGACTGGTTCCTTCATCACGACAACGCCCCTGCGCACACGGCGTTACGAGTGACTCACTATTTGGCCTCTTGGGGATGGCATGTCGTTCTCCACCCTCCGTATTGACCAGACCTAGCCCCGTGCAACTTTTTTCTATTTCTGAGAATGAAGAAAAATCTAAAAGGGAAGCGTTTTGATGATATGGAGGTGATAAAAACAACTTCGCTAAGGGCACTGGACGATATCAAGGTTGAAGAGTTCCAGAAACGCTTCAAACAGTGGGGAAAAAGACTTCACAAGTGCATCACATCTAATGGAGAGTACTTTGAAGGTGACTGAAGAAATTTTGTAAAATAGTTAATAAAGTTTTTATACAAAAAATTTGGTTATTTTTGGGTCCCCCACATATATATCTGAAATAAAACAATTACATAAATTCTGAATATTTTCAGAATTATATGGAGTTTCAGTCATTGTAATAATTCAAATTTAAAAAAATATTTTGTAGTAATATAAATATTTTGCTGATTAAACACATCATTTTTTTTTTAGACATTGATAAATGCATTACCAAGTTTTCTAAGAAGCTCTGCAAAGAAAACTAATTTAAATTTTTCTAAAAAGTTTTTGCTTTAAGACAAGCAGTTTGGTATCAAAATGTGAAATTGTTGCTGCTATTGTATATTTTACTGCAAAATTTAATTTGATATTTAAAAATTCTTTTTATTAGACAAAAATTCTATTTTAAAAATAAAAATTATAGGAGTGTTCCAGGCTGTTTAATACTTGAAATAGGAGTAATTTTATATTTGTATATTAAAAGAATCTTAATTATTTAGTATGACATTGTTGCAATGTTAGGCTGCAATTTTTATCATATTTTGTTTCTTTCTTATTTGTTTCTGAAAACAAAGTTTTTGTATATATTTTCACACAATAATAGCAATAATTAAATATATTTGTATATCTAAGAGCAATTTATATAACACTTACTTAAATTATATTTAAGACACTTCAAAACATATGACTATTAAATAAATTCTATTTAAACCAGGGCTGTGGAGTTGGTAAAAAACACTAGACTCCGTCTCCTGATAAGTTTTAGTAAGCCGACTCTGACTTCTGACTCTGGCAAAATTAAATACCAAGTCATTTTATGGGGGGCAGAGGTGCTTGTACAAGGTACCCTACTCTGAACAGTGAAAGTAGCCTGGGGCATTTACCCAAATACTTTTATAGTTTGTATTTTTAATATTTAACTTACATTAATATTTATTTGTATAAAAAAATTACTTTTTAATAAATATTTAATAAGAGGTAAAAGTAAGTAAAGTAAATTTAAAATACGGGAGTTGGAGTTGGAGTCGGCACATTTTTTCCAACTCCACAGCCCTGATTTAAACAAACTTAATTTTTCTTTTTATCAAATATTCATACTTATTTCAAAAACTTTGCTTTTAACATTAAATATTCTTAAAGAACAATAAATAATTGTTTAAAACTGTAAGAAAGAAAAAGTTTTAAAATGTGTTTTATGTGAAAATCTATTATAAAATTTAAAATATGCTTTTAGTTTTTATTACACATATAAATTTTTTTATTCTAAAAATGAATAGCATCTTCAGAGAAAATGCTTAATATATAAAGTTTTTTGTGATGTCCTTATGTATTAGTTTATTTGATTCATATTAACTCAGATAATATATTAATTTACTAACTACATTCAACAATAAATATATTATTATACGAAGTGAAAATGTTAGATACAAAATGATTACTTTTCTCGAAGAAATAATTTCTTAACATTCTAACAAAAGTGTGAATAAAATTCTAAAATAATTAGAACATATTGCCACTACTTACTTTTTCTGTCTTTGATGAATACTATTGACAAAAAGTAAGCATAAAATGAGGAAATTTTCTATTTTGTTCATTTTATACAGAAAATAGAATTTATTTTGAAAATTTGACAGTAAATCTGTTAAAAGAAAATCTTCAAATGCAAATCCAATTCAAACTGCTTTTCTCAGAACAAAAACTATAACTATTAGAAAACTAGCCTTTTCAGGCTAAACACCTATCAAGAATCAAGAGAAATAAAGATGCAGCGTGTCTTGATCTTTATTCTCTCTTTGTTTTTTCGAAAGACTTTTTTCCTCTAAGAAATGTATTTCAAATTACGTTTTACATAGCTTTTTCCTTTTTTCAAATAAAACAATACAAAGCTAAAAAATAGCAATATTTGTCAGATATAATCACTTATTTTAATAACCACTGTAAAGGGGTTGTTTGGAGAATAAAAACAAGATGTTATGTCCTTCGAATCTGACATTGCTGCAATGACTGATATCAGGGAAGCAGAAAAATAACATAAACTCTGTCAAGGATTGTACCTTTTACTGAGGAGGAATCAGTGAAAACTCCGATCTGAACTGCTTTTAAATAAAATATCTGGGAATTAAAATTATCTTTTGAGTAATTCTTGAACTCAGATGAATGCTGGATTGAAAGGATATAACATTTTGTTTCTATTTATCCAAAAAAAAACCCTTTTCAGTGGTTATCAAAATAAGTTTTTTCTTTTTCTATGAAATTGTTTTACTTTGGGTTAACAAAAAGTGATAACAAAACTGTTTTAATGAAATTATCTAATTTATTTTGCTTTTAATCTATTTTTAAGAACTTTAGAAGAATGTTTTTAAAGTTTTTCATAATGACAATGTGATTTTTATTTTGTAAGTATGGATCATTTAATCATAGTTTTAAATACACTTTCATCCAGTTATCAAACATGCTCATACTGATATGTGATAATGTATAATTATACTTATTTTACATACATTCAATTAACCATATATTTAAAATAAAAATCACATTCTTTTATGATTAATTAAAGCTGAAATATTGTAAAATCTTCATTCATCCTTTTTAACAATATGAATGTAAAATGCTGGATTGTCAATTTTATCCAGAGGCTGAAAATCTCCATAGACCCAATGCTTACAGTCCTGTCCAAAGACATTTTTCAGGAGTTTCTTGAAAGATTCTAGACGATGTGGATAGTATGAGAGCCGGAAATTGCTATAAGAAAGAAAGAAAGAAAAATTAAAAAGTAGAGAAAAAATTTTAAATAAGAATTAGAAATAAAATATTTTACTCACTCTACAGTATTTCCTGAATAACGTCCTTTCTTTGTAAAGGCACTGTCAGTTGAATCAAATTTTGATTCCAAATCAGAAATATCCATTGTATAATCTAATGTTACCATATTTGGTTTTCCATTAACATAAAGTATTGATGTCTGAATATCCCTTGCATGTTTGCTCTATGAATAAAATTAGAAAATTGCATTACATATAAAATTAAAAAATTCAGTTATTAATAATAATAAAGTAACGTACATTATAATAAATGTTTTTAGATGGAGTTTGTCCGCTATCAAGAGTTGCATCATAATTTCTGTGATCAATTAGAAGATATCCTCCTGGTTTTATCATCTCATAAAAGTTTTCAATGGCTTTTTTCTGTTTGGACTGGTTCCCTTCAAAATCTTGCAAGTGAGCAAAAGAATTTCCGAGACAAATCACAGCGTCAAAGCCTTTTCCAGGTTTAAGGATATCATCAGGTAATGTCAACCAATTAGCTTCTTCTATGACTGTAAAACATTTATTAATTAGTTTGCGTTATATAAAATATAAATATAATAATTTAAAACAATGCGTCATGCTTTTTAATGTCATTGTTTAATATATACAGAACCATTATCTGAAAAACTGAGATGTTATTGTAATATGAACCATTCAAAATGTTGTATACAGCATTAATTACAAAATTTACTTTTAAATAATGATGAGTTCAAAAACATTTTTTAAATTAATAAAAAGTTACATTTTTATCCATTAGCATACCACCTAACTAATATTTTGTTTTTCCATCAAGTGCTCCAAACCCACTAAGGCATCAACTGTAAAAGATGTATAAAAGTGGCATTAGGGTATTTTATACCAGGATAATAATAATAAGTCTGTTAACTCCTGAACAGTTTATGATGAGGTAGTTGCAGAGCATATGTCTTGATCTAGCACTTCCAACAGATGCTCGATTGGATTAAGATCTGGGGTGTTTGGAGGCCAGAACATGTTGAAGTTGTCTCCATGCTTCACAAACCAATCATAAACAATGTAGGCTGTGTGATAGAATGTGTTGTCCTGTTGGAAGATGTCATCTTCATCAGTGGTTATGGTTGAAATGAAAGTTGTACATATACGCCTTCATTGCATGACTAGCAATGGTGTTCAGGAAGCAGCCAGTAGTCATAGCCTCACCTGCTTCACAATGTACATGAATTTGCCCATTCACATGGTTCAAAATAAAACAGTTCTTCAGACAAGAACATCCTTTATTGATCCAAAGTCCACTTCTGATGATCCCAGGCCCATTATAGATGTCATTGATCACACTCCACTCTGGTCAGTCCACTCGTATTGGTTGACAGCTGCATAGATCCATCTACAGGAGGATACAATTAATAATGCATTCAGAAAGGCTGTTCTCATTATTTCCATTGAATTTTGCAGTCAACTATGCCATGGTATTGTGTTTGTCTTGTTCATCCAGACAAGATAGCCTTCACTGTTCTCTACCATGAATGAGGTGTGGTTGTCCAACTTCCTTTTGGCAGTTTACAATTTATTCATTGTCAGACAACTGTCAGTACCTACTCAATACAGACACATGAACAGCCTAGTTCAAATCAGCTCAGCCACAATCTCAGCTGTTTTTGAAACACTGCAACCAACCATCTGGCCATAATGATTTGGTCTTTATCAAGTTCAGACAGATCCTTTTGCTTGCCTATAATTGCAGTGTACAAGTTTGGAAAACAATTACGAGATGTATCTTGCCCATTTTATACACTCATGGTCTAGGAGACAATTGATATGATCCTATCCAGTGCCGTATTTAGAACATAAGCGGCCCTGGGTCAGGAGCAAGATGGGGCTCCCTTAATGAAACAGAAACAATAGTATATTACAGACTTAGGGATGCATTATTTGTTTCCTCCCGTAGAGTATATATGATTTTTCACATCCCTTGGCCAGGAAGTGGAATTTTCTTTCCATGCAGCAGGAAGAAAGTATTGTTTTTGGCCGAGGTGTGGTGAATAAGTATCAAAAATTTTGTAAGTTTACTTAGTTTTAAGATCATTTTTAACTACATATAGGAGAAATAAAGTATTTTATATTTTTAATAATTTGTTTATTTTAACTTATTAACCTATTTTTTATTTGTAACTTTATTACTTTCGGATTAGAGGCCCCTATGACCTGGGGCCTTGGGCCAGAGTCCATAAGACCTGCCCTAAAGACGGCACTGATCCTATATTTCAATTGTCTCATGTTAGATAAATGCCCTCTTCTTTTGTGTATGGAGTGGTCATAATATTTTGGCTAATTACTGTATATCAAGCCTTAAATCAGAGAGCTATTTGTTTCAAATTGTCAAAATGTTTTCAAGAAATTTAACTTATCCTCAGCAACCACAAGAAACATTCTACTTAAAATAACTCACTTTCAAACATTTGCAAATATTTAAAATATTAATTAATATTACTAACAAGTAAGCATTTTATGTAATTATTATTGCCTTATTGTCCTTAATTCTTATTATATTTGTCAACTTGGACGTAAATTATTAATAGGACTGTAAAAATTGGTGTTAAGTATTAACACAAAATTGAGCTAAAGTTCTTAAAGAAACCGGACAGGAGGCTCAATAAAGAAAGTCTGGTTTTTTAAGCATTTTATGTATTTAAAATCTTTAACTAACAGGAAAGATAATGATAAACTGAAAGAATAATAGAATTAACAATATAATTTAAATGTTTTGAAGCAACTTTTGTACAAGTTAGAAGTATTATAAGATTGAAGTTCCATTCATTATAGTTTTTTTCCAGAATTCTTTGTGAGAACGAAGGATCGGAGAAAAAGTCTATTTTTGTGTCCGATTTTGCATAAATCTCTTCCAACTAGTGTTGATCCTTTAATATTTATCAGAGTAGTTATGTAATAATTGGAATCATTAATGCACATTAAAAAGCTTAATTCATTCTTGTAGATTTCAAGAAAGCCAATGATGAAGAAATAGATGAAACAACTATACTACAAATCATCAGATAATTGATAATTTTTGCAATTGCCTAATGATTTGTGGAACAGTTGTTTTATCTTTTAGGCAAGATATTACAGGTTAATTATACAAACAAATGTAAATATTAAAATAATGCTTTATATATAAGATTTAAAAGGAAAAAAAGCATCCTTTTAGTTAGCTCTTCCGTGTGGACACCGAGCGGGCCTTTTTTTAAGCATGCCCATTATGGGCTCAACTAGACCCACAATGATGTGGTTGGGTGGTGATGGATAGGACTCAACATATATGAATGGACTACGTCCCAAAAAATTTTTGAGGTTTTTGACCCATCTAGATATGATCCTGGGTCCCCTATCACAAATACTTAAATTTAATATAAAAAGTTTTAATCAAATTGCTCCAAACATTTTGGCTCTTAGAAACCCATCTTTCAGTATCAAAACTACATGTAAATTAAATGTTAATTTTTATAGAAGTACGAGATCTGTGTTCATTAAGAGAGATGCAGCTAACAATTTCAAGAGAATCAAGAGGCTAACGTATATAAATATATGTAAGAAACATTTTATTTTTTGTCACCATGCAACTAGGACACTTAATACAATGTTTTTTATTCTGTTTATATTTTTGTTATAATTTTTTAAAATAAGAGTTTTTATATTATTTTATCGTAAATGGAAAAATTCTAAAAATTATTTTATAAACAAATGGAAAGAATTAATTTAATAAAGTAAGATTACCCCAATCATCAAAAGCAGGTTCCTTTCTTCTGTTCCATCTTTTCTTCAATGCATATTTTAACATCTTATCGCTAGCATCTACACTTGTCATCTTAAATCCGGCTTCTAATAACATTATAGAATCGATTCTGTAAAATTTTTTGAATTAATTTATGACGTGTCATATACAAAATTAAAAGTGCATCCTCAATTAACATTATTTCAATTGTAAAAATAAATAAATAAATTTTCTTCCACAGATTTTTACATCAACTTTTAGAGGGGAAACACATTTTCCTTTTATCAGTTGTCATTAAATCTAAACCTAAATAACCTGGTAAATCAAAAGTCAAGGGCAGATTTCTGTCAAAACATTTCAACATCTTATCCATTAAGTTGTTTATATTGATTTTAATCTAACAATTTTTCACTAATGTAAATTTATTAAGTTAATTAATTTTAAAATATATTTTTTTAATTTTCAGATAATATATTTCATTAGAAAAAGGGTTTTTAAAATTGTTTCTTAATTATTTTTTTAACTAAATTAAAAATTTACCAACATATGTTACTTAGAATATGCAATATATTAATATAAAATGTATGTAGTTTTATGTATTTTTAAACTATAATCTAATCACAACTGTAAAAATTATTATTTAAGCAATTATAAATATATAAAATTAAGAAAAATTTCTTAAATAGATTATATTTAAATTTATTTTTATAAATCAATGTTTAGTAACTTACCCAGTGCCACATGCCACATCTAATATATGCTTACATCCATGTTCTCTTAACATTGATGTAAGAAATTCTCTGTAATGTTTAGTACGAGTTTCTTTCTCTCCGATATAAACTTCCCATACACGTGCGGCTTTTCCGTCCGCATATTGATCAGGAACACCTTCTATAGCAACACCTAAGGATCTAGTACGATACACGCTGTCCACCATCTTCGATATTCCTATGGTTATGAGGAAAATTGGCTCAGTTTTTCTCACTTTCAAACATTTGCAAATATTTAAAATATTAATTAATATTACTAACAAGTAAGCATTTTATGTAATTATTATTGCCTTATTGTCCTTAATTCTTATTATATTTGTCAACTNTTGATCAGGAACACCTTCTATAGCAACACCTAAGGATCTAGTACGATACACGCTGTCCACCATCTTCGATATTCCTATGGTTATGAGGAAAATTGGCTCAGTTTTTGCATTTTTAAAGTAACCATGTGCATATGATGGAGGCGTAAACAGTTGTTTCTCCTCCCTGTTTAAATGTGTGGTTAGAGATGAGAAGATAAATTTTTTGTTTATATTCCTCCTCGTGTTATTTCTATGTGGCTTATCTAATGTTTGTACAAGAATTTATACAAAATTTTGATTACATTATTTAGATATTCGGATGTTCTATGTTATCTCCTCAAAATTATTAAAGGAATAACCATTTTTATACAAAAATTAATTTTATCTTTAAGTCATGTATGATTTACTCTATATTCCCTGATAAGTTTTATTTTAATTTTGAGCATAAAATTATTAAATAATTTATATTTTTGTAATTAATTACATTTAAAACTTCAAAGTTTTCCCATAAACAGTTTGCACCATTGTTTCCTATTAGCTAATATTTGGTATATTGATTATACTGTTATGATATTTCATTTAAAAAAAAATCTTTTTATATTATTAATTATTATAAAATGGAAAAAAGCTCAATTTTCAAGGTAGAGATTGTATATGGAAATAACCAGTAAAATCTTTATTAAAAATCTTGGGAGGTCATTTTTTAACTAATGCTATACTTTCCCTCTGTTATATATAACAACCTGGAAAGTAAAAAGTATATGATAGATATCTATAAGATAATTTTGTGAAAAATAAGTTATATAATTCTGTTTTTGCTTCAGGTTTTAATCCAATATTTTAAGTATTTTAAATGTAAATAGAAATTAAGCATGTTTCTGATTAGAAGAAATGCTGTAATGTCTTACACTGAGATAATAAGATATCAAGACACATTTCGTAATCTCTGGAGTAGATTAAAAGTCAAATTAATCGCCAACCTTCATCATTAGGTTAATCATTATCCAGTTAGAACCGGTTTTTCAATGGTATAAGTGTCCTTAAGGCATTTAAATTCATATCAAAACAAACTTTTTTGTATTAAATGCTTGTGTAGGGAAGACCCCGTTTTACGACCTCTTGTTTACATGTTTCTTTATTTACATTAGTGTGTTTATTATATCCTAAATTGTGAAAATTATTGCATTATATTTTTCAGCCACATAATGCAATATTTTCACTCCTTTTGTAGCAATTTTATCTTCAAATCGTTTCAAATCTTCTCGTATAAAATCAGATTGTATGCACTTATATGATCTAGACATAAACAACTCTCTTAGAAAACAGAAAAATAAAATTACATTGTCAATCTGGTGCCATTATTCAACCTTAATTAAGCTGATATTGGTGACGAAGAACATTCAAACTAATAAAATATGTATTACTAGTTTGCATAACATTAGAATATGTTATTTTATTACTAGAGTACTGTCTGTTATGGCATATGTTGGTACTCAGCATGGTTAAAGCCTGCAACTCCATAAGAAAAATTGTTTCAGGCCACAAAGTTTCCTTGCGGTCCTCATCCAGAAAAGCTTGTTCATAACTATATCTAGATAAAAGGTTCTTAACCTGAGATCCATTTAGATCCACCCCTGAGAGTTTTTTTTTTAAAAGAAACCTTTGAACTTGGATCAGGAAACCTCATGAATCACTAGGTTCATGATCCCAGGTTAAGAACCTCAGATCTAGACAAAATTTAAGTTGCTTAACAGTGAAATAATATTTAAAAATTCCAGCAACGAGTTGCGTAACTTTTCCGTAAAATCTTCATTAAGTCATTGATCAGGAATACCTTCTATAGCAACACCTAAGGATCTAGTACAATACACGCTGTCCACCATCTTCGATATTCCTATGGTTATGAGGAAAATTGGCTCAGTTTTTGCATTTTTAAAGTAACCATGTGAATCTGATGTAGACGTAAACAGTTGTTTCTCCTCCCTGTTTAAATGTGTGGTTAGAGATGAGAAGATAAATTTTCGACCCCACTCGAGTTATGACACACGGCCCTCTCTATCTCATCACCCCTTCGACCTTTAACGACCAAAATTTAACAGTATCAATTCCCTTAATACAAAAACCTCCACGCAAAACTTCAGAAATTTTCGACAAAAGACACACGAATTATTAAGCTTCAAAGTGGATGAACAAAATCGTGCCCTGAAGACGATTATTTAATTAATTAACCAAAATATTTAATGACGTAACTAAATATCTCAAGGATAATCTATTGATAAATTATTATTCGATAGGTGAAGATTGACCAGCTTCAAGTATTTCTTAAATAAACAAGATGATTATTAAATTATTTGAATCATTACGCTCTCTGTAAAATATTTAGAAAGATTAATTTGCTCGATAACGGATATTTGTGTATATTTGGATCCGTAATCTTATATAAAATCATGAAAAACACTTCAGTTTTATAAATTATTGAGTATCGTTGACGTCAATAAAGTTTAGTGTTATGATTAATCGTAACAGAAAAGATGTTACGCAATTCACGGCATTGCTGATCATTGCTACTCTCCATTATTAAGTACTTCATTAATATTTAATCTTGTATTTTTGAATGTGTTCCTATTTGTCTGCTACACATAATAATGGCAGCTATCTAAAGGGCCTTTAGACAGGGCTTTTCATTATTGATTCTTTCGACCCAGGGTTGCTCTCTTCTGGGATGTGGTCTCACATCTGAAATGCGTTGCAATTAAAGATATTTTTAGAAATTTCTTTACAAAATGAAGATCTTGGAGATTATGGAGTTGGAGGAAGACTAAGGAGATGAAGAAGTATGTACTGTGTAGTGTTCTTCTTCCGAAGTTGATGAAGAAAGCCTCTCCCCGTTCATTGGGTGGGAACTAGGGATCCTTCCTTTTGAGGAAAGGACTTTCACTTCACTGGACTGGGCTCAGAAGATTCTCGTGTTCTCTGTTGGATTTTGAACGGAAAGTTGTATTTAATTACGTCGTCAGTCTAGTGCATTAGGGACCGGAAACCAAATCCCGATGGGTCGAAAACTCCTGAAATTTTTTCAGAGGTGATCCGTCCCAGATATATCGAGCCCCATTATGAGTCTGCTCGAATCCACGATGGGTTTGAGAAAAGTCCTAGAGAGGAAAGAGTAAAATTCCCTTATGAGCATTACTGATTCCCATACTTTAATTCACTTTATAAACGGTAACATTTTACAAATTTTAAATATTTATTATACAACTTTTAATTCAAAACTAAATAAATTTTACGCATTTAAAATTTTTAAAGGAAAATTGGGAAATTCTTTAATTTTTCCCATTTCTTTTTCGCATTAGATTTTGTTACGATTTGGCTTTATGAATTTTTTAAATTTGTAATTTTTATTGGAATTGATTTGATAAACCGGTGTTTTCGGTTTTTGTTTGTTTCTGCATTTTCTACTGGAATCGCATATTCCATTATCATTTCCCTCCATTAAAGATCCAATTAAGCGATCCAAGATGTCTTCTTCGCTGCTTGATACTTCTCCATCACTTACTATCCTCTCCTTATCAGATTCATAATCGTCTGATTCTTCATTAATAATATTTTCTTCGTCGACATCTGTTCTTTCTTCAGTGTACTCTGAATTGTCGTGAAATTTCTTCGTTTTGTCCATTTTATCAGACCCTTTGTTAAAATTGCTTTTGGAAACGACCTTCCTTCTGTCCACATTCTTCTTCACCTCTTTATTATTCTTGGCAACTTTCAGCACGTTCTTCACAGGCTGCAGAAAAATATGCAAAACTTACTTCGATGCATCTAATGTATACCAATCTAAATAATAATTTACGGGGCAAAAAACAAAGTTAACCCGTATATGTGTTTTAAAATATATCTCAGTTAACTGTCTTTGGGCCACCATTTATAAAATTTATCTTAAAAAGTAGGAAATGCAAATTATAAATTTATACTTTGATTTCTTTTTCTAGGTTTTATTTATTTATTTTATAATAATAATTATTGTTTAAAAATAACTTTTATGTTATTAATATAATAAATAAAATTGAGCGTGGCTCCATCTATTAAGAGATTTTGTTATAAAAAAACTTTTTATATTTTTATAAGTTTTTTTTTTGTATATCCTGTCTACTTGGACCTTGTTTATTAATAGGACTTATTATACTGATATAGTTTCCGATTAGCAAATAGAGAAGAACAGTCAAAAGTCAAGATAGATTATATTTATTTTCACATGAACATTCAAATGTAAGACATTTGAATGCTCAGTTGAATGGTACATGAATTCGTTATCTATATAAAATGGGGTCAAAGTGACAATGTCCGTATTCTTTGAACCCGCCTAATAGAATTTAGGGGTCAAATAAAAACAGCATTGCGTGCACCTAACAGAAAATAAACGCAAAAAACAAAGCAATATCACAATCAACTACCAGTGTTCAGAGGTTTTATCCACATCCCCACTGGTGGTCATTGCCATCGATTGCTTTGTTATCGTCTCTTCGTGTCGGTAAGGGCAAGGATCAGCTCTGTGTGCAGGCCAGTACAAGGACTGCCTTTCCCATGACCGGCAGGCTACGAGAGTAGTGTCTCTCGTGACCGGCGGGTGCAAAGATTCTCCTTTCGTGGCGGCCGTCACGTACAAGAATCGCCTTTTCTGTGTCTAACAAGTGCAAGGATTACTTCTTTCTCTTCGACTCCGCATCAATTCTATCGCGATACGACAAAATCGCTCGATGTCCTTTAATTATAATCGAATGGCAAACAGCGTAATTCCGAGGGAAGGGATGAGTTTTATTAAAAATTGTAAATGCTAATAAAGAATAACATCTTCATCCAATACGACCCCTCTCGAGATATGATACACGACTCCTATCTATCTCCCTACTCCTTTGACCTTTCACTAACAAAATTTAATAACGTCAATGCCCCTTATACGCAAGCTACCATGCCAAATTTTGTTTCTTAATTTTTACTCCATNGGGCAGTTTATTCTCTGTTGTATTCTCAAGTAAACAATACATACAAGTACAGTACAGTATTTTCTGAGGAAACACTCGTACTTATTTTTTTAACCCCATTCCCGATAACCCGGCATTTTCACAAACTCGGCCATCCTTCGGTCCACATTAGGCCGAGTTTGCGAGGTTCTACTGTATAGCCTATGTCCACCCTGAGGTTCCATTTTAAATATTGGTGAAAGAATTTTTGAAATCGGATGAGTAGTTTCGGAGATTACCTGCTGCAACGAAACTTACATACAAACATTACCTCTTTATAATATTAGTATACATAATAATATAATATTAACCTTTTCTAATATGCAAATTCTTCTAAGAATATGTCTTACGATGCCAATAAGTAATGTTAGCGGTGGAAGATGTTTCTCTACATCGAAAAGAGTTAAAAATTATTTGAGAAATTCGATAAAAGAAGATAAATTATCTGTTCTATCGATACTAAATATGGAATCCGAGTTAGCATAGAAATTAGATTACGATTCTTTGAATAATATTTCTGCCGAATCTATTACAAAATTTTTAAAGGGGCCCGTAAATATTATTTTGCCTAGGATCTGCGAAGGTCCCGAGAGTCGAAAATATTTGACTGATTATAATTAGACATCAACATGAAAATAATAATTAATCATTTATCCATAGGAAAATTTTCTACTATTAGTTTTTAATCGTGTTAAAGTAATTACTATAATTACCTGCAGTTTTTTCAAATTTAAACGCGTGTGCCAGAAAGTGGCAGGTGGCTTGTTATCCACTACAGACTTTGCTGCAAAGAAAACGCGAAATTTAATTATAAAATCCCTCTGGCAAGATAAAAAACTAAACCAAAATTATATTATACGAAATTTAGAATTTGTTATAATTAAAATATTTAACTATTAAATATAATTAATGTTAATCAACCGTTTCTTATCCTCTCTCATATGAAAAGTTTTGAATTTTGCTTAATGACTGTGTTGTGGAACAAAATATTAAACAGGATTAATGCAACAAGCAAATCCTTGCAAGAAATAACTGGTAATTTAAATGTAGCTTGCACTTTATATAAAAGTCTTATAGGATTTGTTCAGGAATTAAGAAACGATTTTGATTCTATTGAAGAACAAGCTAAAGAATTATGTGGCAATTTTAAAAGATAACCACATAGAAAAGAATTTCCAAGAAATGTTATATTTTATTATAAACTAGTAGACCACGCTACACGTTGTTGTGGCTCAAAATGTATCTATTATAAACGTATAACACTTCCCCTGTGAGGGGGGGGGAAATTTTACGAAAAATTTCTTTTTAGTGTACATTCTCTTGACGTATCCTATTAAAACGCAATCAAAAACGCAAAAACCCGCATCTAAAATAGTATAAATAGAAGCAGAGTTCTTTACGGTAAGCTTTAATCCTAACCATCTCCCTTCAGTGGGGGGGAATTTCGACACGTATATTATATAAAAACACGTGTGTATTCGAATGCAGCGTTGTGTCAAATTTTGAAAGGANAAACCAAAATTATATTATACGAAATTTAGAATTTGTTATAATTAAAATATTTAATAGTTAAATATAATTAATGTTAATCAACCGTTTCTTATCCTCTCCAAATGCTCCTCGTGCTGCTTAATTTGGTACCTTCGTTGAAGATAGAGGGAACTGGTCGGTTTGGCAGGGAAATATGTATAATTCATCCTTCGAACGTAAAGAGTAAATAAGAAAAGCGCCTATTTACGCTGAAACGATTCTTCGAAATAAAATTTAAATTCGAATAATTCGAATTTCCTAAATATCCTCGAGACCAGTTTTCTCAAAGCTGTTTGTTTAGAGCATTTATAATTTTGTACATAATTATCTGCCTTCTGGCATTAAGATGATCCCTTTCTTTTCATATCCATCATGGGAGTATTCAGCCCCACAACGGGAACGACTGTGTAACGAGGGAAGGGTCCAACATATACAGGTCATCAAACTTCATAAATATTTTTGAGGATCCGGTTAGTATTTGAAGTCCAGATCCTTTTAAAAGAAGGTTCTTCACTAACATCCAGTTATTTAGCATTTTTTATTTAAAATCGATGCTTTTCGGGAGGTCTTTTTAGGGGATACTGGTCCTATTTAGGCGTTAAAGACGTGGAGAAAACCTGGAAACCTCCACGTGGCCAGCCCGTCCGAGAGAGGCGCGAACTTTCAGTGTTCAGGGTACGAAGACCGCTTGGCCACTGGTGGGCTTCGACAGGGGTAGGACTTAAAACAAGTTAAAAGTGGAGGTGCTGCTGAAATTCGTGTTTTATGCAGACTTATTATGTATTTGCTAAATTTTTTTTTCATTTCTAATGTATTTCGAAGGAGGCCGGTTGGTCGAGCGGTCAAGGTGGCAGCCTACTACTCTGGTGTACCCATGTTTGAATCCGGACGGGTCGAAAAACCGGGGAATGGACCGTTCGAATATGTCGGGCACCGTCCCTCACCGCCGGCCGCCCCATGTGGGCCTGGCCGAATTCATAATGGGCTTAGAGACAACGAACGAAAGAAGATAGAACACGCTTCGGTATGATTTAAAAATAGACTACACCAAGAAATTTCCCCATTAAAACACTTCAAGAGACTTTACATTCATAAAATTTATTGAATTTATATTAAAAATAGATACAGCAGAAATATTTAAGATAAACTGTGAGTAAAAACGTTGCATGTTTTGTTTATTTAATCTTATGCATACTCTAATCTTCGTTATCACCAACGAATCTATAATCGACTCGGAAATCTTTAGTCCAAGGCTTAGAAATCAACCATTTTCTTACGTTTCTTATTTGCTTTTTCATCTTTGAATCGTCTTTCAGAAATTCAATTAGTAAACGAATATTTTCCGCTTTCATTTTTGGTAATGTGTTCACACGATTCGATAAAACCTTCCGAATCTATCGATAAAGTACATAAAATATTATCAAAAACATGAAAGTAAGAACATAGAAATGGAAAAAAAAATTAAAAAATGCCATAAGAACAACGCTTTCCTTACACTTTTTTAATTAAAATACTACAATACTTAAATAATTTAAAAAGAGGGTTCTCATCCTTCATTCTCACTGATATACCCCATTGCGGGTCAGCCCTCCTGTACTGAATAAACACCCATTACAAGATGGCTAACCGCAATGGAATCGACCAGTATAAACGAGGGAAAACATTGACATATTTTAAAATTACACTGTTTATATATATTCGTAATGAATATTGTGGTTATATTAGATTATATTAACGTTAAAAATGTATATATATATTCTTTGAATTTTCATTGTTCTTACCTCTAAATACTTAATTGGATTTTTAGGAATTTCATATATGCTCTTTACTAATAAATGAAATATTGCTTCACTGTAATTAAAACTAAAAGAAATTAATAAAATAATATAAAAATTAAATACACTATAACCTGTCTAAAACGGAACGTCTACTAAACGGAAAATAAAGCTCTAAATGGAATAATTCTTTTATATATAATGCTATTATAAATTGTAAATCTGGACTTAACCTGTATAAAACGGAAGGTTATCAAAAACAGAAAATTCTCTAGCGCTCCGTTTTAGACAGGTTTTACTTTATTAACTTACTTTTTACTAAATTCTTCAAAATAATTATCTAAGAAAGATATAAATTCTTTCCAATTTTTTCTGTTACGCAAAATATTTTTGATATTATCCAAAAATTCGTTTGCGTTTTCCTCCTCCAAGAGATTTTTTAGTATGCTGTAAAAATATACATCCTTTTTTAAGTTAATTTATATACTTTATATACAGATTTATGGACTCTTTAAAATATTCTAAAATGACTTCGTTTTAAAAACAATACCTTTGAATTTCGCTATTGTCGTTGCTACATCTCAATACATCCACATTGTTCATTATTCTTATTTCTGAATGGAAATTTTCCGTTTTTCTTGTAGAAATATTGAAACACAGAAGGGTCGAACGAAGCGTATCTCTATAATTTATACAAAAAGTAATTATTTATCAAGATATGGCTGACTGGAGGCTTGGTTTCTGACAAATTGCTTAGTAATTATTCAGCCTAGTGATGCCAACCTAGAGGTTCCCCCCTAAATTTCAGCAGAATGAGGGAAATTTAGGGAGAAATTTAGTGAGAAAAGTCTGTCCTTATTGGTTTTCAGATTGGCAACACTCATTTAACCATTTAATCCGATAAAGAATTATGCTGTTCGTTTCGTGTTTGAAATAACTATCGGATTAGTTGTATTTATTATAATTGCAAATTAATTTATAAACCAGAATTATTTATTAGATATTTATTTATTCCTAAATTCATACTTTACGAAATCATCCGACATTTTATAATTTAGAATCGCTTCCCGAATGCAAAATCCTTTTCCAATGGAGCAAAGAGCTTCGAAGTTGTACGAACATACNATGGACAGTTTCATATTCTATATATCAAGTGGACAATAAACAGATTGACAATACTCGAAGCTGACTGCTTGACGAAATTACTAATATAGAAACGGCAGTTAACATCCGAAAAAGAAACATGTGTACAGTTCAACATCAAGAAAAGATACAAGGTGAGATAGATAAACTTCTAGTAGATTTACATTACCTAAGACCCATAAGAAAGATGAAAATGTAAGACCAATAGTAGACTTTAAATTTGCTGTATTATATAATTTGGAAAAATTCTTGAAACAAAAGCTCAAAGATTACGAAAATTCGAAATATTCTATCAAAAACACAGATGATATCAAACGAGTAAAAGTAGAAAATACGTCAAAAATAGCCAGTCTAGATGTGACAGATATGTATCCATCAATAAAATGGGATCTAATAGAGAACCAACTTAAGAAAATAAATGTAGAACCTGAAATATATGTGAATTCCAACAATTCTATAAAGAGTAATTATTTTGAAATAGAAGGAAAATATTATACACAAGAAGATGGAATTTGTATGGGGTCGATCATTGGACCAAAACTCGCAGAAATTATAATGATTGATATAGACGAAAGAATCAGAAATATACCTCGTATAAAATATTATAAGAGCAGGTAAATGAAGGAAAATTAAAGGAAAAATAAAATTGAAGGAAAATTAAATTGAAGGAAAATATTATACACAAGAAGATGGAATTTGCATGGGGTCGATCATTGGACCAAAACTCGCAGAAATTATAATGATTGATATAGACGAAAGAATCAGAAATATACCTGGTATAAAATATTATAAAAGATATGTCGATGATGTTTTAATTATATACAACAAAATACACAAATTAAAATTAAAGAAATAGAAGAAATAATATAGAGACAAAAATACAATTTACAACCGAAAAAGAAAATAATATTGACAACAGTATACGGTACCTAGATGTCGTAATCACAAGGAAAGAAAATAAGCTAGATTTTGAGCCTTATAAGAAACCGTGTTCAATTGAAACTACAATAAGATATGACTCTAATATACCTATGTATATCAAAAAGAATGTTTTTCATATGGAGTATACAAAAATACAAAATAGAACCAGTAACGATTAAACTCAGTATTCCATGATCACCGTGTACTAAACGATTGCAACATAGATAAATCTAACATACAGATTCTGCATAAAGAGAAGAAAAGATATAACAGAAAATTTAAAGAGAGTGTTGAGATTATTAAAAATAAAAATAACAATTGTATAAATAAAAACTTAAGCATTAAAATTAGTGAGAACTGGATAAAAATATTATAATTAAGTTGGTGACTATTGGATATAATTATGACGATAATCGCCAAAGTTTAAAGTTCATGTATAAATAAATGATTGTAAAAATCTGGAAATAATATAAGTTAATATTAATATAATAATTCCTGTTTGTACACAACTTTCCATTGTATACTGAAATAGTTTCAAAAATCAGCTCACTTATATATGTAAATTAGTAGACCAAATAGTGTCGTTGAGATAACTGTATGCGAGACTTGTTTTACGAAAAGCTACAACTGATAACGTGTGAATTTGATGTCGTATATAAACTACAGGTAAAACAAATACTAATAATTGGTTTGTACACAACAATTTAAT